GAGCTGTAACATGTTTGTCCAATCTTTCTAAAACTTTGCCAGGGGTATGTACCGCCAATTTCAGTTGGGTCGACAGTCACTTCCTCTCTAAATCTCTGGTCAAAGAAGCTTTTTTTTTTTACTGAGCACAGGAAATTGGAACGATCTGATGTTATACTGTAGCTCCACGTTCTTAATTTCCTTTCTCTGTTTTTTTTAAAAAAATGAAACAGTCTGAGCTCTCCAGTTCATTATAAATAAGGAATGGTGAGCAGGAGGCATGTCTAAGAGAACAAAGCTCTGAATTGTGTACCGACAGACTGCTACATGAATCTTATCAATGCAGCCAAAGCTTTATTCGGGATTAAGGACCTCACCCATTGCAATAGGGATATCAGTCCAGTTGAGGGCACACTTCTGGGTACAAACCCCCTCTTCGTTGAGAACCACCGTCAAGTCATCCTGTCCCACTGCCACCTTCCCATCAGCCAGCGGGGCAACCAGGGGCTCCAGCTGCTTGCCTGTGGGGAAGAGCTCCTTGAAAGACCCTCGTCCATCCATCTGAGGAGAAGACACAGCCACTCAGTGGGAAATAACTCGCAAAACTGGGAGAGTCATTAATATCAAAACCTGCAGCATGGTTTCATGACTTTTCCAATATTAATTGTACTAAAACTGGAATTAAGCTGTTTAGTGAATAATTCAAAATTCAGATATCACAGCAAACTACAGCAACTACTACAGCAAACCTAGTATGTGATGTGAGGGAGAACAATTCAAGCTACTGTCAAGACCAGGGCTTCCAATTTACTTTACAGCTCAGCTTTGTGAGACTATACAAGTAACACCTGACAGTTTGCACACTTCTCTGTTTAGTTACACTTCTGCTCAGTGAACCAAACAGCATTGCTTACCTTATGCTTCAACTCAAAATGATCAATTTTCAATACATTACTGTGCACAGAACACAAACCCGAACCATGAAAAGACAAGAGAACCCCAAAAGTCACAACAATGAGAGTGGAGGCCCAAGATCAGAGACTGGGAGACGTGATCTCTGCATTACTTCTGTTGAATGACCCCTATAAAAGCACCCTTATTCTGTGTGGTTCAGTAGAACGGTAATGACAACCTTAAAAGGATATGAAAGCAAATGACAGCTGCTAAGGTTTAATGGTTCTGAAGATCACGTCGAAATTAAAGGTTGGTCGTGTTTCTTTAGCCAGATTCGTTCATACTGGTATTTGTGTGGTCACTAGAGGTGTGGTTCTATGTAGACATTTTGTTAAGTAATGAGGGAGGAACCACCACAGTGCAAATTCAGGTCCCAAAGTGCCGCCCCGTTTCCTGACTTGCAGCCAGCTTACCCGAATCAGGTAGTAATCACGCTTGAACCCCACACAGATGGAGTTCTCACACCAAGCCATGGACTTGGGAACATCAGGGGCCCCAAAATCTCCCTGAAACACAGTAAAGAAACAGATGCTCAACTTTAAAGAGCTACAATCCCATTTATCTTTCCCAGCTAGCATTTCATAGCCGACAAAAGTTAGCATTAAAAAAAAGACATCTGTCTATCTTTGCACATAAACAGATATCGTATTTGTCAAAGAGCTGCGGTACGTGACATTTTGAACACACTGACAGACATTTCCTTTTCTGCAACACGGGAAAGGTACAGTATTAGCCTCATCTGAATCAACGTTTCACTTCACTTTTTTCAGGAAGCTTCTGCATACTGTTAGAACACATCCTAATTCTCTTACTGTTATGGCTGTACACAAACGATTCATCAATGTCATGTTCAGTTTCACTCTACAATTCAGTGAGGGACAGTGATAACAACAGGTTTTATTGGAATGGATTCAGGTCTTCGGATTTGCCCCTTGTCACACAGAGGTCCTACCTGCAGCTCGTGGAAATCGCGGTCCTTCCAGTAATACAGCTGCAGCCTCTTCTTCACCGCCACACACATGCGCAGCTTGGCCTCTCCTTCGCTGGACTGCTGCACAGATGAAGGCACGGTGAATCGGCACACACTACCATCCCACACCACTGCAAATCGCCAGCCTGATTTCTGGCAGCTTGAAAACCCAGGAATCTGCTTTATCCAATACATGATCGCAGCGGAGGCAGAACCTATCCCCAGCAAGCAACGGAAACAAGGCAGAATTTACCCTGGACAGGACATCAGTCCACTACACACACTCACACCAGTATGTTTATGGACTTTGTGAGGAAACCACATCTCCCTGAGGAAACCCACACAAACCTAAATAGAACACACAGACAGCACCCCAGGGCCCCAGAGCTGCAAGGCACCAATGTTATCAACTGCGCCACTGTGCCAATAACCTAGAAGTTCATCAAATCCTTTCTTAAGGGATCCCAGGGACCAATCTTTTGCTTTAACATTGTGGCTATAAATATTTCCTCCATTCCCATCTTACTTTCTGGGTGAAGCATTTTTTCTCCCGGTTTTGAATGCTCCTAAACTTAACTATCACTTGCTCATTATGAAGATATCGCCTCTGGATTTTGTCCCCTCATATTCTACGCTAAAAGAACACAGCTCTTTTCAAAGTACGGCACTTTCAGACCTGGAATAATTCCCACATTTTCTCTAGCACTGCCTCTAAAGAATCAATGAGTGAAAATAATTCCTGGATTCTTCTCAAGTACTGTTCCTACTAATGCAGTAACAATTTATTCAACTGTTCAATAATAAGGAGTTGTGTCAGTCTGCAGTGGGATTTCCTATATGGAACTGACCTGTACATGTTCTTCTGAAACTCAAGCAGCTCCCCACCTAACACTCTTCAATCTCCACCAAAACTTATTCAACAGGTTTTGGCTAGGAGTTGACTTCATAATTCACTAAGCAGGCACCTGTATCTTCTCCTCTCTTGCAACAACTGTGGAAAGCTGTTACAGAGAATAGCGGTTTGTGTAGGCTCAGTGACTGACCTGCAGGTCACAGGCAAAGAGAGTGGCCCCCTTGGCCTTCGAAACCACAGTGATCTGCTGGAAGGTCAGCAAGTCATGGACATGGATGTTGTTTTCTGTTGACAAAAAAAGGAGGAGTCATGCCTTCTAAGCAAGCCAAGTCTTTTTTTTTTTGGTTGTTTAATTTGTTTATTGGTGTTTCAGAGAAAAGAAGAATATTAAATGGTACCATTCACAATAATGAACACATGTGAACAATCATCATGGCAAGAAAGACTAGGTACCTAAACAAACTGTGCAAAACTAACAATAAAATAAAAACAGGAATAAAGGAGTAGAAAGTACTATCATGCAGCAAAACAAAGGACCTGAAGACTTACCCAGAAGGCTAACCAGGATTTTATACTGCGACACCACATACAACTGTAAGAAAACAGAAACAGGGAGGTGACTCATTTTAACTGCCACAGAAAACAACTCCTACAGCTTTCCATGCTCAATGCAGTAAAGCAGGGGTTCCCAAACCTGGCCCTGATGGCCCACACTCCAGAATTTCCATTCCAGGTGAGCTTAATGACCCAACTGAAGACTTCAGTGAACTCTGAAGGTGCTCGATTGGATTATTTGCATTGTTTTGCATTGTTTCCTCAAACGTTTGGGACTTTATGTTACTTACAGTATGAAATGCAATAGTAGAAAGGCAACCTCAAACATATTAAAGAGGTGAAAACAGTCAAAGAGCTGGAATTAATCCTATTATTAAAACAATTAAGGCTTCAATTGTGTAACTGAGAGCTCTGCTGGAATGAAGAGAATACACTTCCAATATGCTGTTATTGCCCTATCACGGATTTAAAAAAAGGTCAGATTATGTAAAAAACAGAAAGACAAACGTCACATATGGTCTTATTATTTCTGTAAACCAGTGCAGCTGAAGTGCTACATCTATGCAGCAATGTCTACTTTCTTTTTCTTGGCTTCCCAACTTGACAGATTTTTACCCGTACCGACCATCGACACCTCCTTACAGCACTATTCCTGGGGCTCATTAATGTAAAAACAAAAATCCAAGACATATTTCAAAATAGCAACCTCCACTTTTGCACCATCACCTTGTCCGGCAGCTGGCGTGAACAAAGAATTGCTCTTCAGTTGAGTCAGGGGAATAAAGCTAATGAGTGGAGAGTAAAAAAAAAACAAGAAAACATGGAATGCTGAACAATGAACAAGAGGCCTATATGGTGAGCACCATGTATTAAAAACACAAAACACTTGGGCTATGCTGCAACGCTTGTATGATTGGTTTGCCCCAGTTGTGTCATCTAACTTGGCACTGGTGGTTGATTTGTCCACTTTAAATTACTGGGAACCCTGTGGAAAGTACCTATTTTTTTTCGCATTGACAATGCGTTTGTTGCAGGTGTGAATTAATATATCACCCTTCTATATATTATCAGTCAGCCTGTTTACCAGGCTGATGGGATGTGGCACACCAGAGCCTATTCCAGAAACAGAAGGTACAAAGTCAACTTGAGAGCACATGACTGCTCTCCTCCTGCACAGAACAACTAGTCCATCACAAGGTAAAGGAGAAAGAAACGAAGTAGAACAGGCATTCAATTCCAACACATCACGCACCATGCTAACTCCACACAGACTGGCATTTTTGGGTCCTGGAGCTGTGAGACAGCAGCGCTAACTGCCAAACCACAGGCCTGCCCCATTTATTAAATCATACCGACACTAAACACAATAGCACACTGCTTCAAATGGGACAATCAGTCCACTGCTGGCCCGACTAATTTAACACAAAAATGCACATGCATATGAAACAATAGTGAATGACATCAGTCCACATAAGTTACTTTACCACATACCTGCTGAATTTTCTTGGAGAAGTTTTTGTTGGATTTTTCCAGCGTTACTTCAAACCTGTTACTGCCTATAAGGAAGGCACAAGAAGTCTGGTTACAGCATGGAAACTGGCAAGGCCAGCACATCCCCAATTTCTGCGTCTACACCCATACATACAAAAGAACAGGGCTGTCTTTGACAACAAGTCTCTTATTTCCCTTGTCGGGACAATGGGTCTTTATGAAGAACTGTACAAATAATTACTGAATGTCTGCCTGCGCTACGGCATGCCAAAAAATTAAAGTCGTAAACATCTACTGCTTTTCATTTAGTGTGTATTACACACTGGCAGTTTTGCAACAGTCTACTTTGCTGCCCCCACGCCCACTGCTATTTGCCATGGCATGATCCCTGCTAGAAACCAGACCAAATACGTTACTGCCATCCCAGTAGCTGGGAGGGCCAAGAAGTGAGCAAATCTGCTCTTAAGCACACCGGAAAAGCCCTATACACTGACGCCTGTGCAAGACCTATGTGCTTTCCCATCCTGGCTTCATGGTGTCATTTTGACATGTAAGCAGCAGTGGTTAAGAACAGAGAGACTTCAAGTTACAATACAATACACTTAACACAGCACGCCCTGGTCAGTTTTCGCTATGTTAATACTACCGTTATTTTTGGAAACTCAAATCATAACCCAATGTTACAAAAAAAAAGATCTAAAATGGTGGACGCTAGCCAGAATAGCTTCTGTCATTTCATATTTCTCTCTGTTGTTGCGTCACGCAGAACAAAATAGACAAAAGCTTTTAACGTCATCACATACAGATAACCCCCGGGCTTGAGATTCCGGAAATATGGCCAGAACCAAAGAAGAGACGTGAGATTATGGCCTAGAGCATTCTTTTAATCCAGCACTGTTAATTTAACTGGCTGCTAAGCAATTCATTTCACGCATTTTAGCAGAAGAGAAGGCTGGAAGTGAAACAGGGTTTCAACATGCTGATACAGGTGACTTGAACTGCTCTTCAGCAGCGCGTGAGGGAGCCCACCTGAATCCTTCTTGACTCTGTACAGCAGCAGGTGCCCTGGCTTGGTCCCCACGAGCAGCCAGTCCTCTGCAAAACACATACAGTGGTCACTGGAGAAGAACACACTGCCCAGTCACTGGGCAATCACTCTCCTTCAAATAATTATACCAGCTAAGAAACAGCTTGGGTGAACAAAAACTATTAAACACCGGAGCCTAGAAAATCAGCTTTAGCTCCTATTGGAAAATTTAACGTGAAGTCACTGTGTCATAGCTCACCTTGCATTTTCCACATTAGACTCACAGATATTTGTCGCACCAGAATTTACTGCTTATGTGAAGAACATTTAGTAAAATCCGAAGAAACCTTCCCAATACAAAAATGAAAATTTTAAAATATCAAAAATATGTCCCTTCATTCATTTTCTAACTTCTTCCTCCACTGCAGAGCTGGAGCCTATCCCAGCAAGTAACAGAGACAAGGCAGGGTACACCCTGGATGGGATGCCAGTCAGACGCTGAGCAGACATACAGACACACAAACACACTCACACCAGGGCCACTTTTCCCAGAAGCCACTTAACCTATCAGTATGTCTTTGGTCAACAGGAGGAAACTGGAGCACCTGGCAAAAACCCACACAGACAGGGAGAACACCCCACGACGATAACACCCCAGATCCAAACTTGAACCCAGGGACCCAGTGCTGAGAGGCAGCAATACTAACCCACTGTGCTACCCATCAGATGTTCATAACTTGTATTATATGGTTTTCGCAGTAGGCTACATTTGATAACTGTGTTGTTAAAGCTTTACTCTTATCTGTTTAGACTCATTGGAACAGGAACACTGATCAGCAGGTCTCACTGGGTCTGAATGACAGGAGCACTGCCCACCTACTCATTCAATTGGACAGTCTGAGCTCATTACTACCATACTGTATCTGTAAAACTATACACAAGGCAACCCAAATTAAATGTCCGATGAGGCAAAAATATACATAAAAATGTGTTCACTTATCTGAAAATAATGTTTTGGAAATTAAGAGAAAAGGCTTATGCTTTTTAATTAAAGAGAAAATGAAAGGATTGACACCAATTTACAGTTTGTAATGTTTATAACCTGTCCTTCCTCAATGTGTCCTGGAATTAAGTACCAAAGGAAATAAAGGGAATATGGATGAAACTGCGAAACTTGAAAATCCAGTTGCACAGGGTTCTCTCATCAAAACGCACAGGCCACCTGAGAAAGGAGTCAAATGATTCAGGAATGCTACATTTAGGGTTTTAAATCTGAGTCCATAAGCATCTAATTTCGCTAAGGAAATTACGAGGAGAATTGCATAAAGCGTTTGTACCTTTCATAAAAAATGGGTAAAACAAATGAAAAACAGAAAATGCAGCTACAAACAAAAACGTATTTCTTATGCTTCTTTTAATGTCATTCGAAGTAAATGTAAAATAACGCAAAATAATTAATCCTACATTTATTCTATAACTAATATTGAGAACAATATCTGAGGCGTGTGGATGTTATGTATACAAACATGTGATGTCATAAGTACAAAAATAATAAATTTGTACATATATAACATGTATGTAAACCAATGTAAAAACACGTTACAACAGTAATGAAAGCGAATGCGTGTTAAGTGCTGCCTAGGAACCAATGTCACTCGTTGACAAAGTTCCTCTTTTCTATCATGTCTCAATGCTCCGGAGAGCTCTCCATCAACTGTTCCGCTAAACTCGTAAAATTATATCACACTAAGTGGTCCCCATTCCCGGTCTGGTGGTCAACTCACCCCAGGCCGCCATGCAGTCTATCTGAAGGGGCAGCTTTTCCAGGATGGGGACCGCTTCATAGGCGTCGTGCATGGCCGGTTCAGCGACCTTCTCGGCCCGACTGGAAACCGCAACACAAGCCGCCGCAGGGTCTCAGGTCCTCCGTCTTCTCTACTGACAAGGCACAACTGCACCTGGCTTCTCTTTAGCTGTGCCGAGATCTTGAAGAGCTTCTCCGAAAAATAAGGCAAAGTCCTCCTCCTCCTGCAGATCACCAGCGCTTGGGAGCCGGGGTCTCTGCTGACGGCGAAGCCGACTCCGTGACATGAAATTCCGGCTGCGATTTCAGATCTGTGTTGTTTACATCCAGCTGCACGGGAAAGGCTATAATTAAAAGGTGCACAAAACTGCAAACACCGACTTATCCTGTACCGAACGCCGTCAAACAGCTGATCGAAGGATGAGATTCATGTCGGAAGTAGCTGCAAATGTTTTTATTGGTCTGTTTCTTACTTCCTCTTGTTTGTGTCTACAGACCTGGCCCACACGGACCATGATACACACGTGATTCCCGATGCCCTTCTCACGTGGGGGACATTCAGAAGATCTGCTGTGCGGAAAAATATCTGTTTGGACTATGAAAGCCATCGACTACCTTCTGGTATATGTACTGTAGTTTAACGCTATAGAGAACGTGTCTTCTGGTTAAAACACAGAATAATGTACATTGACTGTATATTTATATGTATTTGACTAACATTCCTTCTAAAACTTAAATTGTCTTCACCTGATCAAGTTTCTTTCAGTGCTCCTGTCTGAACGAACTCAATCTCAGTTCTGGTGTGTCCATTCTGGTCCTCCAAAGGTATTTGTTGAAGCACAGTTTTGTTCTCAGATTCCACTGTTTCCAGTTTAATATTCTTTCCCAGGTCTTGAACTGTGGGGTTGCCGATATAAAGCTATGTATGATACCTACTGGACTGCTGCCCCCCCCAGGACCAGGGTTAAACACTGCTGCTTTTAATATTTTCTGATCTGTTTTTTTCCATCAGCAGCCTTGCAAATACATTTGCACGGTGCGTGAATGGCACATAAAATTCAGTTTAGACACGTCAAACAAGTATTTTTAAACAGTTCTGTGTATCTAGGTCAGGCAAGTACTAAAAAACATTTGGCTAATGCCTAAATAAATCGGTGATGATGTAACTAGTTACGTATAAAATCTTATGTCACGTTTCTGAAGTTTGGATGTATCTGTAAGATTCTGATGAATCAGTTTAATTAAGAAAAAATGGTCTTCTAGGGCTAAAGTACTCGATGGAGTACCAAATGACAAATCAGCTTCTTAATTGACCAGAATTAAATTTGTAGGTCTTTAGAAGGTGGTGATTTAATTGTAACCAATAAAACAAACCTCCCATGAAACTCTCAGGTTTGATTTTGTTATTTCAATGTACACACAAGACAGATACAAACAACGTTAAACATCTACCAGGCAATTCAGGGCGTTTTAAATGTAGTACTTTAGCATCCTTCAACAGATATATTTTTTCTTCACAGAAATGCAAAAGCTTTTAAGGCTGCCCGTAACTTTTTTCTGCCCTGCCATTGCAGGATGGCAAGTTAATGTTTTCCTCTCCGTTTTACTGTGTAGAGCAAGTGTCCCCATCTTTGGTTCTAGAGAAAACCAGTGCACCGGGTTTTATAGCCATCTAGTTTCACAGCAATTAAATTGTGATCAATTAGATGTAATTTAATGATTAAAATATAATTTGGAACAAATATCTGAACTTCCTGACTGGAGTTCTCCAGGACAGTGGCTCCGGATACTTGTCCTAAAGATTTTGCAAAACAACAGAGCCATAACGGTTATTACATTGACTATGTTGTTCTTGTGCATATTTACACGGTAATTAAGAGTGTTAAGAGTGGGGAAGCAAAACTAAGTGAGAAAAGACAGCAAGTGCACTGCAATTTACTAGTCTGACCTTCATTAAAAAGATTTTATTGATACTTTGTTGCAGGGCTGTAAACGCTGAGTGTTCTTTACAAGATCTGAATCAAGTAAATTGCACCCAAGTGAGAATAACTCACAAAATACTGTTTAATAGAAACTTTAATCTGGAAACAAATCATACATACAAAATTGGTTTTTTTTTACAAGCAGATCCCATTTCACACATACCAGTGAACAACACATGTTCTTTTTTGGAGAGTATATATCTTTAAAAAATACCCCACGTATTTATCATTAACTGCATCAGGACAAAGTCTGAGGCACTAAAATAAATTTGTGAAGTGCTCCACTATACTGTATAAACCACTGTTACCGGACCACTGACCAGTGACTGTATGATTATTATCCTAGGTCTCATGCCTTTAGTCTTCTTTAAGAAAGTAAGCCATATTTTACTTTTAACAAAACAGACAAAATTCTCACTTTAACTCCTAGAGCTAAAATTTCTTAGCATCACATATACAGCATCAAGAACATCCACAATCAGTGTCTGGGTAACAAACAATGGGGAGGTTGTACTGTAGCTGGTGTGAAGCAGAAAGCCCATCAGAATACAACCTTCTCTCCTCCCAGTGTACAGGTCTGTCTTCGTCATCAGATCGTAAGAGAATAAATCACAAAAATCACACCCTTTGTTAATGGTACAAAGGTCAAGTAAATTGAGTTTTGAAAGATCACGTATTTTGTTTGTCGATACATCCATTTTCTAACTGCTCTATCCATTACAGGACTGAGGGGGAGCCGGAGTCCCTCAAGCAACAGGCACAAGACAGGATACACCCTGGATCATCACAGTTCATCACAGGGCACACACAGTCATGTACACACTCACATCCGAGTCAGTTTTCCCAAGAAGCCAATTAAGCTACCAGTATGTCTTTGGATTGTGGGCAGAAACCAAAGCATCTTGAGGAAACGCATGTGAATATGGGGAGAACGTGCAAACTCCACACAGACAGCAACCCAGGGCCCAGCACTGCGAGGCAGCAATGGTAACCACTGCACCACCCCATTTTGCAGGCCTATTTTGTCCAGAGCAATAGCACGGAACAACAAAAGTGGCAAATAACTGGGATTTTGGTTTTATCATTGTGAACATATAAACATTTATTGCAATGTCTGATCACAGGCTGTGTACTGGACCACAGCCTATAAAGAAAGATAAAATGTAATGAAAGTACAGAATAAGTGCTGACTGAGACTTCAAACTGTTTCATTTGGGATTCTTCTTTCCATTAAGAATTCTATATTTGGAAATGATTAGGGAAAAATAATTCCTTTTTAAAACAAAAAATAGTCACAATAGAAACAAAAGTTGACTAAGCATACATTTTAACTAATCTGTACAATCTACAAGAAAGCACTTCCCGTTATCAATGATCTGCACTAGATCCACTGCCCAGTCAACACATGTAGGACAATGCAGGCAGGTAGCTTCTTGAAGATCATAAGTGGAAAGTAGCTATACAGTACATTATACTGCAAGCTAGCAAAATAATCATAAGAAATACTACTTTTCAAACACATGCAAACAAAACATTAGGTAACATTGTAAAATTAAATTTAAAGCAGCCCGATCTCAGAGTCGAACTAAGCGTACATTAGTACGTGAACTGTTCCAATTTCAACCTTCATTTCAAGCGCATAGCGTAGTCTTTGAAGATTGGAGAATGAGCCCGACACTGTTCTCTGTAGAGCTAGGACAGTTTCATCATGTGCCAGGTGACTCAGAGCAGCTCTCTCCCTTAACCCATGCTCATCGTCTATACTCCAGCTCAAGCCCACAGCTGAGCTGTAAAAGATTATTTCATCTGTGGTGTAAGACAGGCATGACACATCCCCATACTACAGCTTCTGAGTTAGGTATTACTTTGTAAACATGGTGATCACATTGTTTAGGCATTATCATCAATTTATGGCCATTGTGTTATTCATACATTGAAAATTGACTAGACTGCTAACTTGCATGTTAAAAAATTAACAAAAAATGGTTGTAAAAAATGTTTTCCTAAAGTAAAAGCTCTTTCAAGATATGTAAAATAAAACTTAATTCCTTTACCACACTAATGTGCTCTACAAATCACTGCTTGGATCATGGCAAATGGTGACATTGTACAGAAACTAATCCATAGTCCTTTACTGTCGATGCACGCTATGAAAAAAATCTGAAAGGACAGAAAAGAAGCCCTGGTGTGTTGAGAAGCTGGAAGACGAAACGTTTTCTTTAAGGTACGTGTAACAAATTGGGAGCCTTCATGAATTAATAATAGCAAATGATAAAAATCATGACAGTTTTCAGGTGATTCAAGTGTGACGTTCTGAAAGCCTTCCCGTTTAAAGACATGGGAGACTCTGATCTCTCAAAAACGCTAATAAAAAAAAATCAGACATCAGGATCTAACTTATATTAAATAAAAGCACACAAAGACTGCAAAACAGTCTGTAATGTACTGCTCAGTAAACCTCAATCCTTTTAATATTCATTGGATGCCTTCTTTAAGAATTTCCGAAATCAGAAACGAGAGAGATTTTCAACGCACCCTTAAAATCAGACATTGCAAAAAGAATCTTGCAGTCTGCCAACAAACAGAATGCACAAGGGCAACACAGCGGACGAAGAAAAGGCACGAAATATCCAGGAAGCCCATGAACCCCGTGGAATGGGTAACAGTGGCTTAGACAATTCTTAAAAAAACTAAAATAAAAAGTCAAACCCTACTACTAATTCCCCATCCACTTCACTCCACAACTTCGGATTGTTGCTGGAGTTCCAGGCGTGGTATCCAGAGGCCTGCTGTTATTCTGCTCCGAGGCCCAAGTGCAAAGCCCGACTATTTCACTGCGTCGAACCCATGATAGTTACACCCAATGAGGTAAACAGCTCCCCTCCTACTCCAGACACTAAACACTGCACACAATCTCCCCCGTGTGCAGACGGGCTCTCTACAGCCTCAGGGGGAAAATAATTGGGTGCCAAAAAGACCAAAAGTGTCTCATTCTGGGAAGTCATCCTTGAAAAAGGAAACGGGATTGCACTTCATGGAATTCGGCATCATAGTCTTCCCATCTCTACTCCATCTTCGACCTCTCCAGCGTGGCTGTCAAAATCTCCTGGCAAAAGAGAGGGCTTGTTAAGGACCATATATTCTCCGAATGGCATAGAAATACAATGTGGTAAAATTAACTGTTGTATGCTGTAATTATAATATCACCTCTGTAGGCCAAGGATTATTAATCGTTGTTTTTTTTGGAGATTTAAATAACCTGAAAGTCTCCAAACTGCAGTAAATCAGAAGATGAACTGTATTGCAAAGCTTGTGAACAGAAAAACCTTGAACTGTACACTGTAGCACAGGACTCAATTTGCGATATGCAAGGCACAAAAAGACTTGGTGACTACATAGTTAGAGTGTGAGTGTTGTGCAGTTCTTATGAAGTATTGAAAATAAAGATTTCTGTTGATAACTAATGCTGTTCTGTTGTTTCAGAGCCAATGAATGATGGAGTTTTCAAATTATTTCACAGATGCACAATAAATAAAGACTTTTATACAGTACATAGTAAAGAATCAAATTGAAGATGACCCTAAGGTCCATACAAACTTCAAATGCAACTAGTTCAGTTACAATATGTTACGTAAAGTAAGATAGTGATCGATTGCTTAATTAAGGTCACAAAAATTGGGGGAAAAATGGGGACTGTTGAAACTATTTACAGTATAAACATCTTGACCCATGAATTTCATGCAAGACAAGTCTGAAAATAACTGCTCAATAGTGCTCTGTTTTGCTGGTCACCCTGCATAAAGCAGTTAATGAAGAAACACATGTCATTTTGCTGCTGTATTGCAATTTGTCTGATCACAGATCATGATTTGATTACAGAGCTGAATTATCCAGCCTACAACTCAGATTTACTCCCCTTATTATTATGGGACCTGAAGCCTGTATTGTGTGGTACACAGTTTAAAGACAATTTACTGAAGTTTTCTACTGGCAAATGGTAAAGGGAGCAATCAGAGGGGTTTAATTATTGGAGAACACCCCATTTCAAGGGCAAATTGGCACTGCATTGAGGTGAAATGTGATTGCGCTCAGAAGTCCAAAAATGATCCTGATTTTACTGTATATACTTTTGTTCAAAACTGTTTGAATGCCCCTGCAACATTTGTTTTCTGATATTTCTATCAGAGCACCACCATAAAATTATTTTTCTCAAGAAAGTTGTCATATTTATTCTAACACGAAAACATTCTATTTCTTTCTTTTTCATGTAGAGTGCTCTTAAATAAAATGTTTGGCAACATGTTTCAACTTCAAACTTAAATATTTATGAGACCAATAGAAAAATAGAAAAACAAGAAAAACTTCAGAACTAGGAACTGTATAGGAGAATAGGGACACTTCCAAAAATATTGTTTAAAGTATTCAGAAAATATATTAGTTACTCTCTCAAGATGAACTATTTATCTATAAAACTATAAATCTAGTCAGGTTAAAGCAACACATTTAGAAATGTCAATATTCTTCAGATATGTTGGCAATAAGTACATTCCTTAAGAGTTCAAAGATTAATAAGCAGATATACACTGCATAATAGGCGCCACATGAAAAATCTGATCTACATGCAGACACAGAGCTCATAGTCAGAAAATGCACAAAACACGATCAAATATGCAAAAGTCAAGCTAGACACACAAACAGTCAAACTGCAATGCACACATCAGTGGCTTTGTGTTATGGGCAGGTCTTGAACAGCTAATTCTGTGGCTTAATGAGTAAAATATGACTGGGATCATGAGACTAAGATGAAAAAGTGATGACCATACCTCCTCGTCATCAAGTATGGCTGGGAGTGCCCTAGAGAGACAGAGAGGAAGAAAATTCAATTCACACAGCACTGAAGACCAAATCTACACCTCACCTGCTAAAGACAACAGGATGATACTCTTTCATTCTTTAAATCTTGTCGATTCAAGAAGTTCCTTCTATACTGTTGCTGCTTTTATTCAGGGCTAAATTAACAAACAACTCAGTAGTGGGTTTTTTATTATTCAAAGACATTCAACACTATACAAAGTAGCAAGTAGGACTAATGAGTCAGGGGTTCAGCTTTCCCTGTCTACACAGAGAAGTCAACGGCACAGTCACTTGTCAAAGCCAGTGTACCACTGTGACCTCAACAGTGCAATATAATGAATATTTCCTGACACGTCTGCTGCATAGCACATTTCTGGACATTCCACTCAAAGGTCTTTCAAGGGTAATAGGGACTCCCCTCCACCACCACCAATGTGTAACCCCCATCTGGATGATGCAACGGCAGCCAGATATCAATGAGGAGAACAGAGTGATTAAGCACATCCACAGATGGGGATTATTAGGAAGCCATGATTGGTAAAAATTTGGCCAGGAGACCGGGGTGACACCCCTACTCTTTTTGAGAAACACCCAACTTCACTATACTGGTGCATTAGGACCCACAAAGATTGCAGGGTGAGGGCTCCCTACCGGTCCCACTAACCGCTCTTCCAGCAGCCACCTTAGCTTTCCCAGGAGGTCTCCCAGCCAGGTACTTGCCAGGCTCACACCCGCTGAGCTTCGGTGAGTTGTCAATTGTGAGTTGCAGGGTGATATAGCTGCTGGCTAGAAGGAGAATTAGACCCCACTGGAAGAGATGTATGTCTCCAGCTTGATGTCCCTGCAAAATCACAGGTGTCTGGCAGGTTCCAGGATTGAGTGTCACACAGCAAGCCTAAGAAACCCAGTAAGGCCCACCAAGATGGTCTCAGCTACTTTGCAGAAACGTGAGAAACCCTGCCATGGTCAGTTAATGTAATAGTTCAGGCAGGATCCAGTGATGTCTGGAATAAAGGGATCACCCAGTGCTTTGATGACCCTGTGTGGTGCCATAGTGTATTGTGTTTTATTCTGAGTTGTCCCACACATCCAGACTGTACAATCAGGTACAGTACCTGCTTTTGTGAAAGATTAACCAGTGATGAACTAGTGTCTTTATTAAGGAAACAGGAAAAGTGTTGGCCTTAGAAGGTAATGAAAACTTTAAGCTTAGTAAAGTGTGGAAAGGAGTGCACATTGTTGAGTCTCACTTTGCCTAAATCTACCTCTTTCTTAAGATACAAGAAGATACGTAATAAATTACCGATTGCAATACTGGACATGGGAGTGAAAGGTGGAGATGAGACTGACATTGATCACATGGAAACAGAACTGTTGTATTAACGTAGAGACCGTCAACAAGCCAGATGTTGCTGACAAGAAAAGTCTACTTTCACCCGGTCCAGATTTTCATTTTGGCACAGTAGAGAGTAGTGACTCAATGGGAAGTCCCGACAAAGATAGAAAAACAAACGTATGTATAAAGTACAGAAAAATGATCAGGAATGGGGCAGGAAACACTGCTTGCAAAATCCAGTGAAATTATCAGATTCTTATTCTATTGTGTGCCCTATCCACTGTGAGCCCTGGGACAGAGTAAGACGCACATGGTAGTCCAAGCCTCCTCCTTATTCCCCTCGTAAGAAGGGATGTCCACAGTGTGCAGATGTGAATCACAACACTAATGTGCACATCTGTAAATCATTCATAACCTCATGATGTGCACAAGCAGGATTTGTCTTCTAAACTGATTTGGAGCAAAGCTACTGTATTTTGGGGCTAAACTAAAGACTAAGATCTTTAAAGTTATAGTATACATTACCACTGTCTTCTACTATTGTTTGCTGAATGTTGACTAATAGTTGATCCTGCCTGGAATATATATATATATATTTTTAAAAAGCTTCCTTGATCTCTGCATTTCAGCTGTACTCACACATCTGCAACTGTCGTGGGAATATTCTCTTCTACCCACTTTAGGTCTTCATCCTGAGGGAATCAAAAACATATCATTTCACAGAAACAACAGAGATTAGCAAGAAATACTGGATTTATAGAATGACATAATATTTTTCCTCACTCCACAAAGTCTTCAGATACTTTTTCATTTGGTGGTTGATGAAATGTTTAACATTTATAAGTGTTCTGAATATGAATTAAATATATAAGAGATCAAAGAATGATGCAAGTTTAATGGAGTACCAATGCTCAGGAACCTGCAGTAATGTGGCAACTCTACTGTACAGACAGAATCGCTCTCTCTTGGTGTGCTCACACTCTGCAGAGGGCACCACAGACAGAACCATAAGAACTTAAGAATAATTAAAGGTGAGAGGCATCCACTCAGCCTATCTAGCTCCTTCGACTGTTAGAAGATGATTTTATATGCTATTAATCAGCTACTGTAGTTAAGCTAATTGCAATACTCCCAGAACACACTGCAGAGTGCAGTGCAGACAGACCTGACTGCCGGACTATGCTCACCTCTTTGTTTGAAGTTTTTGGGGTGCCATTGCTTTCAGTTTTTGTTGTTCTCATCTTCATTCCCTCTATGAAAAAGACAAACAATGGGATGGACACAGTCTACTCACCCTCTTCTATATTTTGAATACTGGTAAATGTATACTTTTCTCCCTGATGGTTCATTCTTTTACTCATTTCCTACTCGATATCAATCTGAATCTCCTTTATGGATTTTATATTTTTGGATTTGCTTTTAGTTTAAAATTCGTTAATCAAAAACAAACTTCTCAAAACACTCCTATGTCTGAATTTGAGGTAACAAGCTACAGGGAATTGCCAGACATGTATCCTGTGGAATTTATTTTATTAACCATTTCTATTACCTTGGGACTTAATATTTCTGCTCCATTTCCTACCTTACTCTGTTCATCATTTATTCTGCTTATCATCAATTGATCACCTATTAGGAAATGTCCAGTCTGAAATAAGTATAATCAAGCAGATTAGAGGCTATTTAAAGTTCTGTATTCTTATGTTGTTGGAATTGGTATTCTTGACGTAGTTCTTTCAACTAATGACAGTGCAGAAACAGGCTTCCCAAGTCTAAACCTGCAAGCATATCAATGAAGTCATCAAACTGGCTCTAAGGAGATAGAGCTCAATTGGAACAAAAACCAGTAGAGAAAGTGGCAGCCCAGTACCAGGGATGGAATCCAATGGTCACTGTTTTCAGTGTAGTGCTTTGAGGTTGAATCTGTTCAAACTGTTTGCTTTCCTTACTACTACCATAAAGCTTTACAAGCAATGACACAGTTGCTCATGGCAACTCAAATTCAGGGAGAACCTCGTGAAGACGAACACAGGACTAACTTTGTACGAGGTCTCATAATGACACCAGTGACAAGACACTTCTCCACTTGGCAAAGAGAAACAAGAGCAGTGTGAATAGACTGATAATGTGCCCTTCACATTCATCCACTCTACATAGTACTAGCTTATCAAGTTGCCTACAATTGCTCTGGGATTTGCTCAAAAAACAGTCAAGGAATGTTGGCTGTTATACACGTCTGTTACCCCATGATCATTCAGCCTTACCAAATGCTTCGTTCAGCATGGGTTCTTTGGCTTCATCCTCCTCATCCTCATCAATCAGTGGGGAGTAGGAAAACCTGTATGGAACAAGAGGGGGCTGAGCTGCTTCACAGGCTTTTCAAAGGCAACAAGTATGTTTATTCTTTATTCCTGGAAAGTGTACTGCATGGGTGTCCAGTCCTGATCCTGGTGGGACGGCGTTTCCGAGTTCTTAATGAACTGGCTAAACCTGCTGGACCAATTAAATAGCTTTTCCCGGGTCAGCAGGTGCAGCTGTTGAAGAGATCTCAACCAGCTGCCAAACCACTGGCCTTTCAGCAATGCAACTTGTTACCTCTGCCTTACTGCATTATTCAAAAGCTTGGGGAACTCCAGTCCTTACTCATCTGTTGCACTGAAGTTTTGTCTGTAAGAGATTTTTCTTTTCTTTCAATTTATCAATATTTATCATACATTAACGTTTAATTAAGGCTTTCTTGATTATGATATATTCCTAAATTTCTAGTTCCAGTGCTAGTGCTTGGGCCCTTTATCATTCTTTATTCAGATACAATCCAGTGTGACTTGCCCTTAATCTGAAAGATAAATTATAATTTATAAAATTGGTACAGAGTGAGACAAAGACGCCACTTTGCTGGGGTGAAAATCTACTTTTAATACATGTGTGTGTACTGTTACATAATGTACTGATCAGCAGAGCACTAGAAAACCTGAGTTGAAATCTCACTAGTGAGCAAATCAGTATAAGATGTCCGTTCACACAGTCAAAAATAGCAAACAGCTGATCAGTATTACATTTTGACAGTGCACTAGCATTAAGGACCAATTCTTATCTGAGGTAAAGCTTAATGCTGTCTTTACAGATTAATACTGTATCTTTCAACTCAAGATCAACATCCAGCTGTGTCTCAAGAATACTGCCCAAAAATGTATTTGAAACCCTCTGTTATTGTGTAATAGTTTCAGAATATTTTGAGCTGGAAATTCAGCGTCAAGCTTCACTCCGGTGATTTTGTGAACACTGTGAACCTTTATTATGCTTTCTCTGCACATTAGTCTAATTTACAGTGTTTTCATTATGCTTTCTTGTGGGTGCAGTGCTTCCACTCTGCTCTAATCATTGATATGATTAGCCACAAGTATGCATATGTAGGGGAAATCTGAAATTGTTCTTACAAAGCATTTTCAACGTGTAGTTAAACAGCAAAATTGGGATAGAAAACGGCGAGAGCAAGGTAAGAAACGAGTGCATATTTAGCAGAGTAAACTTCAGAAGAGCCTGTCAGGCCCCCAGAGAGCTCAGTTACCTCTGGCTGTTGACAGAAGGTCTGAGCAGAACCATGATGACCAAAAGGATGGTAGAGAACAGCAGCCGCCAGAAGGCATCATCCACCCACAAATCCCTCCAGCCCTGCAAACACAGTTCAGATAGCAAGGGTGGGGTTTTCTCACAGTTTTCTACAGAACCGACTTCAAATAACCAGCCCTCTAAAAAGAGTGTAACTGACTGACTGTCAACACAGAGCTATGCAGCACAAATATGCATGACTCTCTCCATCAGGCCATCCATGTTGCATGTGTGTTTGTACGTACACTGGCTCCAGACAGTTGTGTCAACTCAGTGTTCGTATTAAAACTAACACTGCTCAGTTTAATATGAGAGAGCTCTGGACCAGCCCACTGTGATCGATCAACAACTGCACATTTTACTACTATTTTACTAATAACTAAGACAGTTATTACAAAATAAATTATTTTTTTATGAGAGCTTTTTTAGATTAAAAAGTAATGTGTGTGCTTGGCCAAGGAGCCAATGGTGTCAAGCTATTATCTATGACACTAACATTTAAAACCCTTAAGCCAAGAACCTAATGAAAGGGCACTTTAATATCCTTGCCCATGGTTTATTTATAACATTTATGGTATTACAATAAAACATATACTGTACAGACTGCAAAGAAACAAGTAATAGGTTTATTCCATGCTGAAAAGAGAAGAAAGAAAACTCAACGTTTCGGCTGTGGAGCCTCTTCTTTTTTTTTTCTTCTTGAGCTATTACAACATATTACAGGCTCAATGGAGCTGAAAACAAACTCACCGTCTGACAGTCCGCCATCTTAAATACTTTTGTTGTCCAAATGATGAAAATCATAGAAGCTGAGAACATAAATACAAAAATAGAAAAAGATTATTTTTTAGGTAGAGATATAATTGATGATGTTCTGGGACTAGCAATAGTGTATGAGCACTTTCCAAAGACACAAAGAGGCAAGTTTGCTCTGTTACTTTGGGGATTGAAAATCTTATTTCTAGGCAAAGTAGACTCCACATGCTTATCCAATAGAACACAGATAGTACTGAATCAAGGTTCGCATCATGATTATGGCACTTCAAAATTTACAGGAGGAATCAAAACCCACTTGGCTAACTAACATCAGTTAATTCTCCGATGCCACAAGAGACTAATCAAGAAATCAGCTACAGGCAATTTAAGATCTTGGTTTCCTTGTAGATAAAAGTCTTGATTATCCCATTACTCTTCTTGAATCATTAGATTGTGGAATCTCTCCTACTGCGACTGAATCAGGCAGCCCCACTCTGAGCACAGATCAATTCCTCACTGCAATCCAAAAGAAGTCCTGCAGCACTGATAAGCTGGCTGCCCTGCTTCATGTATGAGAATATGGGCTTAAACCAAGTTAACAGACCTCAGCATTAGTAATCACTGCCTTAGTAATTCTATCAAAAACCATACAGCTCACAAGGCCACATGGCTAAACCGCAGGCTCTGTAGAGCTTCATGATGAAGCGGGCCATGTTGATGCTAGCCGCACGAGCGCATGAGGAGATGACAGTCGGAAGCCCACATCCAGACAGTCCACCCCCACCCCCTGGCTGTAGGGTCAGCAGTGGCCTCTCACCCAGGACTGAGAATATGAGGGTGTTGGTGAAGTGCCGGTACAGGGCGAGCTTCACCACGTTCTTGCGCAACTTCAGGAGACGGATGGTCTGGGAGAGGCTAATGAAGACGTGAGCTGCAGTTCAGGAACAATGATGGACGACATTGGTTAAAACCATAATCAGCAGATCAATGGTTTCTGGACCTGAACTAGGCCATGGTAGATCTACACTATTATGGCACACCTTAACTCAAGGGTAAATTTACATTTGCATAAATTTACCTTGCTTTCACTGTACATTCCTATGCAGTATATTTTTGCAGCAGCTTATACCAGGGTGGCCTGGGGGCATATTGGTTGGCATTGCTGTCTCGCAGCACTGGGGCCCTGGGTTCGATTACCAGGGTGCTATCTGCATGGAGTTTGTATGTTCGCTCCGTGTTTGCCTGGGTTACCTCCAGATGCTCCGGTTTCCTCCCACAGTCCAAAGACATACCGGTAGCTTAACTGACTACTGGGAAAATTGTTCCTAAGTGTGAGTGTGTGTGTTTGTGTGTCTGCCCTGTGATGGACAGACATCCCATCCTGGGTGTACCCCACCTTGTACCCATGGCTTGCCATGATTAGGCTCTGGCTCCCCCAAAACCCTGAATTGGAAGAAGCAGTTGGATGGATGGGTATATGCTTATACTAGCTGTTAGCAATCCTAATAACATTAGCTATGGTAAATCACATTACTGTCATGTGAGAAATGGGACAGTTATAACACTGGTTATACCTCCAAATATACCTATCTAAAGATAGGCTTCAGAAAAAAAATCTAAATGTCCAAAATATCCTATCTGCTTAGGGATGTCACTGTTTATTTAATTTATTTTTATTCAATCTGAATAATCAGCTGCAATATAATTGTCTTTTTAATGCTAAAAACCTAAAGTAAACTTTTAATCCCTAGTTTGCTAGTTATTCCACCTCATGTACTTTTTGTTCCAAAGTGGCTCTTAATGAGGAAATCGAGGTAATTACCTTTGTTGTACCTCTTTAACCTTATTAACTGAGAGGCCTAACCCTCGGGGTCTAGAAATGGGCACTCCTTTACTCTCCTTGACTTTATGTAAGTGAATGGATGAGTAACTCTGACCACCGGCTTCTAACTACTGTACATGGACTGTATTTGTAAGACCCTGGGTATAAGGAAAGGATATCCACCACATCACACAGGAGTCAATCAAGGAAAGGCTGAGGTTGGCCACCAGTGCCACAGTCCCATAGAAACCCTGGAGAAGAAGAGAGATTAGATGACCTTCGGTGCCCACTGGCATTCACTTTGTTATACTGCTATAATTCTAAAATTGAATGGACACATTACGTCGCACACAGGACTTGGCAGCGATTGCCTGTTTCACCCTCAAACCAGATCAGCTCTTCACTCAAAAACAGAGGCCGACAGTTCAGTCAGGATTGACCATTCACATGGTGTTCATACTTATTTCTGGAACTCCGTAGCATTCTACAAATAAGTATTCACACCCTGTGGCATAATTAATTCACTACCATTTGCTAGGATAAAAATGTGTTTAATCAACTCTGGGGATAGACCATCATAAACTTATAAAGTTTAAAAGCATTATATACTTTCTAAATCAGTGAAAAATATTGCTGGAAATGGACAGGGTCATTACCGATGTCTGTAATTGTGTACAGTAGGATTGAGCCCAACATTTCAGGAGATTTTATAGCTTCCCCTCATTTTATCAATTACAAAAAAAGATGGAACAGTTTTGTTTTGAGTACTTAAGCAGACTTTTACTGCTCACTCAGTCAAATAGCTTAGAGATCATTAAATAATCCTGGATCTCTCAAGGACCACAGCTGCCCTTTTCTTATTGGACTTCACCAATGAACCTTCTAAACTGATCAGAATGAAAGTCTTAAAGTGATGATTTCAGAGTGTCCTAGAACACCTGCAGGATTATGGCACTACCGTGACCAGGGTTGAGCACTGCTGAGTCATAAACGTAAAGTGACGGACTTCAGTTTCCGAGATCGCGGTTCCACTCTGTGCCCACAATGCCACCATAAGATAGACTGGCACTCACCCCAGTAACCCTGAGGACGCCTTCCACAGAGGAGAAGAGCAAATACAGCAGCCCCACAGCTGCCAGTCTGTGAACTGTGGTGCCTAGCCTGGGCCTGAGGGAAGAACACAACAGCAGGTACACATGGGAACAAGGCAAGCACAGGACCAACAACCTGGTTCCTTCTAAAGCTCGTAGCGCACACATCTCAGAGGAGCTTTAAACACCACTAACAAATCAATCAGTTCAAGGCATTTAAGAGTCTGTGTTCTCCTGTCCTTTTCCCGATTCTGAAGCTCACTTATGGGCAATTGACAAATTTACAAATACTACAATTCCTGTAGACCATACTTCACAGCAGCACAAAGAAAGCAAGGGACTAGGAATAAAATGGTTTGTGCCAGTCTGGAGTTCCCGCAGACTCTCGGGGACCACAGCACCGACCGGCCACACACTGGTTATAAAAGGAACTCACTTCACAATGCCATAGCCAAGGCTGACGATGAGGACGAGGATGCGTGCCAGGGATCGCTTCAGGGCCGAGAGGAGCTCTGCGAAGATCACGGCGCCCTGGACTGAAGAGAGACAGCGGCACAGGACACTGGTATCCCAGACAGAGAACAGAGCTCTGTATGTTCCTTCTCCTCTCCATGCCAGTGGGCGGTTCCCAGTACTAATCACTTGGCTTTCTAAACTATTTTGCTACAAGTATTTTCCAAAAAGATCTCTTACAAATGTCAATTAGGAAATTTGCAGGGGTACCAATTTAACATTTAACAAAGCATTCCAGAACTGACCTGTTTTTTTTCCCAGGAGACAAAACGATGCATGTAATGTTTCCAAACATAAAAGCAGTTCATAAAAAAAAATAATTGGCCAGGTATAAAGTCTCATCTTTTGTTTTTGAACAGACGCTTTCCAAAGAAGCAGCTATGGTTTGGTTATTCTTTTGAGCCACGATCGCCCTGCCTGTTGGGCCACATGACCTGCGGCAGATCTCTGAAATCAGACACCGTCTTGCAGGTGTCTGAAGAAGAAATCAATATAGCAAAAACTGTGTGGCGGGGATGATGTAGAGGTTCAAAGTACAATTGACAGGACTAATGTGACACACCTTCTTATCGCAATATGAGAACTACTGCTTATTTCTAAAAAATTTAAACTCAAGGTCCCAAATGAAGGTCAATACATCTTCAAACAAATGTGGAAAAGTCAACTAGTTCTTTTTACATATTTTAGACAGGTGTTACCATAAGACATTATCACATCTTTTAGCTAAAATCTCTAAATTTTTCCTAAAATACCTGATTTACCAGAAATTATTTGCATTAAATTAAAACTGGGTCATAAATGTTCCAGTTTCACAACCATTGAGGAACAGAAATCCAGCATTTTGCTGCACATATTAAAGAGAGGGCTCATGCATTGCACTTGCTCACAATGTTTTCCCGTGTACCAGTTCTGAACATTAGGGCACTGCATGGAGGACCAGCCTTACTGTATTCGCCCTTATAGCGGATGTTCTGGTACTCGGAATAGAACACAGCCTTCTCCAGCATTCCCAGCAGGATGACGGCCCCAATCCAGAACTGGATGCGTAGCAGGTCTTTCCAGTAGCAGATGCACCAAAGGAGCCACAGCGCCCCAAAGAGCACGTAAACGATGCACATCACCATGAAGAACTGTTGACAGGGCACAACCAAGAGGGCATTTCAGTTAAGCATTTACGACGCCGGTTCTCAACGCAAGGCAGAATTTACACTGGTGGCTGCCTGGACAAACAGAAATAGTGAACCACAACTAGGAAGCATAAAAACAAATCACTGATTTTCATCAAGGAAGTAAACCAGTGGTTTGGTCAAGAGAAAAGCGCATTTAGCCTGTCTCTCTCTCATACAGTACATACACCCCTGGTTTTCCCATATCTGTGGGGACTTCCTACTTACGCACATTTTAATTTTCCTTTACTTTTTCAAAAGTCTACTCAAATGAAACGCCCCACAGTATCAGGAGCTGCCATTTTTGTGGGGACGTTTTGGCAACAGTTGCCCCCACACTGACATTAATACACCCCGCTGCCCTCCTCGCACGGTGATCCGAAACACTGGCAGACTCACGATCATGAGGGGCCAATCAGCTGGGGAGGAGTACTCGCGGGGCCCCTTCATCTCCACAGTCACTGGGGGGGAGAGGGGAAAAAACACATCAGCACAGCTGCACGCCACAGCAAAACCAACAAAGGAAGGAAAAAGAAAAAGAGCGTCAGAAAGCTTGTGGTTCTGCCATTTCCATGTTCCGTTTGGGAGGTTTCGTTTGAAAGACTCAAAACACCAAGAGCCAGAGTCCCTGCAGTTCACAGTGCAAAGCAACTTATTGACTAAGCCACTCGGTCAATTCCTGATATTCGCTGTTTTTGTAATCCCTAATTTGTAACAATATAAATAAGATATGATATTTAAATAAGAATATACTGTAAGGAATTCACCACTCTCATCTTAGAGTTAGTTAAAATACATATTTCATTTAACTTTCCTTTTACAATGCTTTCCAATCTTTTTCTGCGTCTCTGATGTGTATATGCCTTATCAAGATGTCACTGTGAGGGATCTTACTTCCGTGACAACATCATGATTTCATATAGGAGATTCCATGATATTACAATCCCGGGATGCATGTTCTTACTGGTCAACTCCCCAGTGGAATCATCATAGGCCTGCTGGGTGCTCTTGTTGTCATCATGCCTAATGGTCACAATCTTCACAATGAACATGTAGGGTCTGTCCTGCCAGGCCTTAGCGACTGCATTGAGAGTCTGTAGCAAGAAAATAGCTTAACATCAGTGAACAAGATGTAAGATATAACTGGAAACTTGTTAACAGCCATTGTGGCAATGCGCATTGCCTTTATAACCACAGCGGCACTGGCTGAACGAGGACGAGCCACAGCTGTGAGGGCTCTTTAAAGACACACTGAACGCCTCCCCGGAGGGACGAGCAGGAATCCCCAGAAGGGGAGGAACTTCCACCGGCAGTCCTAGAGGGGACTGTACCTGAGCGCAAGGCTGCCGTTTTTCTGCATTTTTATTTTCTTTTTGCCTGTCCCGTCATGCATCTCTACCGGGGCAGGCTGACTGGTTTTCCCATGCTGAGTATTATATTTGGCCTTGTGCTGCCTGCCTGCTATCCCAGACTGGACCCTGTTAAACAGGGTAAGTCCAGCCCGGGTGCCGCCTTTTTCTTCTTTCCTTTTTGTTGTGCGTTTCCCCCTTTTCGGGCGTTTTCTTTTCGGTTTTTCGCTAACCGCTCCGCCCTCTCAGAAGGGGCGTTGGCTCATATCGGGGGTTGCCGCGGCTCCTGCCACTTTCTGTGCCCTTATGATGGGCTGGCAACCCCTCCTGGAGGGAAAAGTGGGTGTGTGCTCTTAGTCACACCTTGTGCCCTGTGCCACAGACACGGGCTCTAACTAAGCTGTGACATTCACCAGGTTAATACTGGAGGTAACAGATTATGAAGACATGCTGGTATGTTTCAAGACTTGACATAGCACAATCACTAAGGAAAAACAAGGACACCAGGTAGGCCCAAAGGGTTGTTCTCAGAATAAAATCATATTGTTCTATACTTCATATTTGCACAGTTTAACTTTTTAAGGTGTTATAATATTAAGGAGCTGTGGAAGGGGAATAACTTTTTAGGTTGAATGCCTTTATTTTACTTCACCATTCAGTCCACTTGTTCCTGTTACACTGGGGAGGAAAATACAACAGCTATCTGAAACAGCAGGAGGGTTATACTCACAGGTTTCTCGCTCCATCTTTGGGGGAAGGTCTTGTTTTGAGGTTTACTTCCCTTTAATAAAACACAAATTTCAGTTGTTTTTTTTAAACGACTCCAGCCCATCTGAGAAGCCCTACACCAAACCAAACGACACCAATGGAAATGAAAGGGCAGTGTAGTTAAGAGAGAAATCAGGAGACGTTTCTTCAAACAAAGGGTTGTGGGTGTGTGGAACGAGCTACACAGCCATGACACTGTAATGGAATATTTAGGATCTTTCAAGAATAGGCTGGACAAGAGCCTTCCATCAATGACCTCCCTCCTACCAAAGGCAAGTTGAACATTTGTAACTTCAATTATGTTCTAATATGGTTGTCTCTACACAAACTAACAACTACACACAAATAACAGCAAGGAATTAGAGCTCATCTGCAGCCTCATATCTACTAACATGTTTTTTGAGGGGTTTCTACTTTCTTCATTTTCATTCTTGTTTCTCACATGACAGCAACACCCACCACTCAGTCACTTCCTGATCACCATGTCTGAGAAGAGAGGTGTCCTTTATTCATTTCATTCTGCCAGACCCTTGGTTTTCCCCAGCCAACCCAACCATCCAACGTCATCACTCTGACAGCACATTTTCACTGCCTTACATTCAGCAATGCTGGTGAGTGAGCAGGCAGTATGGCCGCGCTGTATTGGCAGATGATAAGGCTGTGTCGGTTATGCAAGCTAAACCTGTTAATCATGTCAAGAGGTAATTTGTAATGACTGACAGCACAAAGCTATGTCTTCATTTTCAGTTTTTCTTTCTGCCTGGACCATTTTGTAGCCACCAAATGATTGTTGCTCTGCCGATTGTTGGCGTTGCTTCACGAGATAAGCATTCGGTATAATACTAATGATTATTTCAGTTTTCTCCTTTTCAATATCTGATCTCCTTCCTTAAAGAAAAACACAAAGAGCTTACCCTACTCTCCCTCTCTGCTCTCTTTAAATTTCCTTTTTTAAAAAAAGTTTGTGGGCTTATTTCAATATTATTTCTGAAAGTTATTTCCTTCCTCCTAAGATGGAAAAACTCTATATGTAGAAGAAGTCTACATATAGAAAGCTAAACTGATTTATTCTCTCATGTAATGTGATGTGGTTTGCAGGTAAAAATTAGGTAGCCTACTTACCTCGCTGGTCAGGGCCTGATATGGGATAAATTCCTTATAGTAAATCTGAAAACATAACAAGAAAAATTGGCATACAGCACAGTGATGGACATGGTATAACCTGTGAACCAGAACTGTTAGCAAAAACGAGTATTTGTATCTGTTCCCTTCATGAACAAACACAGGATTTAGTCTCTGGTAATTGGCAAACTTGTGTCTTCTTATACTCCACATACTTCATAAGATCATTCAAAAACAGATTATATAATGAATTGTGATATAAAAACCCTTTAAAACACCTGGCATTACAACTGTATGCCAAACCGTAAAACTGTCAAATTGTCTTTATATAATGTGTTGACAATTTTATATATTTCTAGATGTGTACTTTTTCCAAAAACATCCATTAAAAGCTCATTCAGCAGACTGAGGATTTCAGCTGGGTGAAATGGCAAATGGCAAATACTGGCACAGCATGCTGACAAGTCCAGTAGTGTATTTGACAGATAATTTGTAGATAATTTCCCCTCACACTTCCTGTTTGTTGAGCTTTAACAGGAGGCAGGCCCTTGTGGGGTTGGGGGGAGGAGTTAGTTCACACACCAAAAGGTCTGACCAGAAGCAACAGCCACACACCACCCAGAACAAGGACACGTATATCAAGGGTTTGCCCAAAACAAATCCTGCCAAAGTGAACTTAAGTGTTATACCTGTGGTTTGATGAGCTGACTGCAGTTATCAAAGAACATGGAGCCTTGGCTGTAGTAGCCAGTCCAGTTCTCCTTCAGCATGTGGTCAGACAGAAACATGCTGGCTGCGCCCTTATCCTGTGAAGTGGCAGAGGAGAACACACAGTTACCCACATTACTGAGTGCTTCTTCTGCAGTTCGGCTAACACGGACTGCCTGAGCTGAGCAACTTAACTACTTTTTCCTTCATGCAGTAGCGGCGGTGTCAGAAATATTGCTGGAACTAACTAAGATACAGTATGGTATAAGGTCTGCGGCAAGTACTGACCGTAACATCCCCGTATCACACAAGACAAAGAACAAAGACAGCTGCAACCACAGAAAGTCTCGTCTCTTATTTCTCAGCTTCAGCACATTCATCCAGTACATCCTTATTCATTTATTTCAGAGATCTTAGCGGATCTGAAGACTGCCCTGTTGCTGCATGTGTGTGTGGAAATGCAATATTACAAAATAGAAATTAAATATTTAAGATTTTTCAATATTACAAATGTTACTTTATTGCATGAATGCCAAATAGATCTCGTGTGACAGAAAATATGATCTTTCATGTCATAGAACAATGCTGAGATGATCAAATCATTAATACTTTCAATGATCAATCTATCTGATGTTCAATCCACAACACTACAATTTCCTTTTTTCTCTTTTGAGCCAGACAGTATTTGTGTTCTTTGAATTCCAACACATCTTATTATGTTTGCAGCAGTGATTTATTTTAGTCAGGCATTAAAAATAAATCTACCAAGAAAATGGTTATTTTCTTGCACTTCAAGATGCCTTCAAAAAGGGAGAAGAATGCTGTATGTGTAAACATGCCCACTCAGACCTGTTTGGCCCAGATTCAGCCTGAATGGTATGTAAGTCCTGCAGAGAATGAGGAATGCCAGCAAAAGGCAGTGGAAAATTAGCACAATGGGTCTCAGTTCTTCATAAACCATTGCTTCACTTTGTGATTAACAGTTTTTATTTCCTGTATCACAAACCTGCATTTTAAGTAAACTGGTAGACCATGACTTTTAACAAAAACACACTGGCTAAACAAATCTAGGGATCGGCTAAATAAGGATGTGATTTCAATAAACAAGGTGTAATGTAACATATTGTAGCCTTTTCAAATAAAAAATGCAGGTTAGCACAGTCCCCTCATTAAGAGTGAACTTAAGCAAGACTGGATTTCAGCAAAGTATCACGCTTGCCTAAGTTCCTCTCTGTACTGAGTGCCGAGATATCGTGGAATAGTATCTATCCACTAGCAGCCTTAAGAAGACGCCATTTTATAGCACTAGCAAACACCTAGTAGAAATTGAAAACTGAGAATCGGAAAGAACTCATGTAATATGGTCAGAATATGAAAAAATAAATTACAAAGTCAAATTCCGCTTTTTAAAACCTATAGCATGTCAACATAAATTCAAAGAAACAAGTAAGACTTCAGTCACATAGCAGTTTCACCACTGTGGGATAAATGAACACCAGGTGTTGGACGGTTCAAGCATACAGGCTTAGTTTGAGTGAATTTGCACAACCAGACACAGACAGTGTCTGTGATGTATAGTAAAAATAATACTATACATCTTTGGCCCTTTTCCTCTTCTCTGTTATAGTTCAAAAGACAACATATCACACTTTAAAAATCCAGCTTGTTACCAATAATCCTGCCTGAAACCAAAGAGCTAGCCAAATGCAAAAGTAAATCCTCCTCTATAAAAACTCCCAAACTCTAAACACACCATCCTGGCAGCAAAGTCACAAGAAACAAGACACTCCAGTCACTGCTTCGACAACTGAAAACTGTAGCTTGATCAGGGTGGCAGGGGCTGGCACATTGTGCCAACTGTCTCCCCATCTTAGCCCTCAGCTGCTGCATCGGGTTCAGTCTTCCATCAGCGAGCAAAATGTCTCGCATCTCGCGTCCCTGCAACTCACAACTGGCAACCCACTGAAGCTAAGCTGGTGTGAGCCTGGTCAGTACCTGGATGGGAGACCTCCTGGGAAAAACTAAGGTTGCTGTTGGAAGAGGTGTTAGTGGGGCCAGCAGGGGTGCTCACCCTGTGGTCCATGTGGGTCCTAATGCCCCAGTATAGTGACGGGGACACTATACTGTAAACAGGTGCCGTCCTTCAGATGAGACGTAAAACTGAGGTCCTGACTCTCTGTGGTCGTTAAAAATCCCAGGGAGTTTCTCGAAAAGGGTAGGGGTGTAACCCCGGCATCCTGGCCAAATTTCCCATTGGCCCTTACCAATCATGGCCTCCTAATAATCCCCATCTATGAATTGGCTTCATTACTCTGCTCTCCTCCCCACTGATAGCTGATCTGTGGTGAGCGTTCTGGCGCACTATGGCTGCAGTCGCATCATCCAGGTGGAGGCTGCACATTGGTGGTGGTGGAGAGGAGTCCCCATTACCTGTAAAGCGCTTTGAGTGGAGTGTCCAGAAAAGCGCTATACAAGTGTAAGCAATTATTATAATTATTAATTATCTGTCTCAGCCCACAGGGAACTTGTGTCTCCTGCACTCAAGGGCCTGAGCCATTTTTCTAGCTTGGACACAGCAGCCCTGGGACTGAGGAGCCCCAGGCCCAGAGTCCTATACTGTGCGCGGTAAAATTAAACCAGCATAAAATTCACATAAAGCTATTTTGTCTCAATACATATTCTAACCTGAAACTGGGGGAGGAAGGGATGGAACACAAAACATTGTTGTTCTAACTCGGCTAAAAATCTATGCAAATTAAAACCCAGAAACAAAAGCGAAATTCTGTACCCATGCCTCATATTTATCTTTCGATCTGAAATACAAGGTTCATTAGTACTCAGCAAAAATGAAAAATCTCACTTTACTGTCTCAATACGTACAGTAAGCCTTTTACTGTAAATCATCCTCAATCATTTACTTATCTGAAATACAACTAAACTCCTGATCAGTTAAGATTAGATTTTTAGTTAAGAATTGTCTTCTTAGATGAAGAGAATCAGATTTCTGTTTCAAAAAGCACTGCTGTGATTTTAACGGATCAACCTCATTGACTAAGACAATGGGATGCAGCTCAAAACCCAATTTCCTTAGTTCAAGTTACTGTACCCCTGGTGGTGTTTTACACTTATAGAACTATAAATTCCCACTTCCTGGATCGTGCTAAAAGACTATGGCCCACTAGAATGGACCCACTAAAGTGCAACAACTTAGTTGTTTCAGTTCAGGTCAATAAGCGTGCCATCAGTTCTGAAAATTGTATGTACCTACTACACATTATTTGTGTAACATTACAATCAATTTTCATAACTGTGAATTGCACACAGTATATAGACTCAGCCCAGATAGCCCTGTGGTAGGTAGGCCAAATGGCTTGTTCTCTAACTTTTCCGGTGATCTCATATTTTGATTTCCTTCCTCAGCAATACCAGTAATTGCAGCCTGTACAGTCTGACATAAACACAAACTGCTATGAAACTGAAGTCCCAAATGATTCCCTGTGAATGAGTTAAACAGCATGTGATACGAACAGCAGTGTTGAAGACTTCGTTATAGCACACAGAGGACCGCAGGTACCAGCTGACATTGAAGCTCATCGTGTTGTCACAGGAATTCGTGTGGTGAACTGAGAGATGGAGAAGCACAGTATGAGACGAGAAGAGCACAAAACATTAGCCTGCGCATCTGCACAGCAGATGTAGTAAAAGCACTTTATGCAGTTAAAGCTTTCAGGCTTAAGACAAAAATGCTGCTATGCCGTGTTAAAAAAAACCTAGTTCAAACCTTTCCTGCTCTGTATTCAATACTTACCTGGCCTCTCTAACAGGGTTATTTAAATTGTTTCCCTACATATCCTCAATTTCCCTTTGGGATTAATAGAGTCTTATCTTATCTTATTTAAAGTCTTATCCCATTACATTTGATGCAAATTTTACATCATTATTACTCCAGCACCAGCATTGCACTTTTACCTTACACCTGCTTTCACTGTTTTTTTGTCATTTTTGTTTTTTTACTTATTTTTCCAATTGTATTGAATGACTTATTTTTGTTTTTACTTCATGTGTTATTGTATATTTTAAGTCACCCTAGAGAAGGGCATTTGCTAAGCTAATAATAATAATAATAATAATAATAATAATAATAATAATTAACAACACTGCCACAATTGGAGGGTGAAACATTTCTCTTTGTTTCTGGGAATCTCCTGCACAGTTTTCCAGGGATTTCTGTGGTAGAGGATAATACAGATACATGTATCATTGATCCAATAACAAAATCCATTTGCAGAAAGCTGCTTCTTCCTGGTGTTTCTGTAGCACAGGGTATGAGGCAGAACTGCACCCTGGAAGGGACACCAGTCCATCACAGGGCAATTTAGACAAATTAGAAAACAATTAAGTTTGCCAATCACCCAGGAAGGTGGGAAGAAAGAGCACCCCCACAACAGGGGGAAAATGGAAACTCCACACAGAACATACCCCATTCCAGAATGAAACCCAGGACCCAAGAGAAGTGAACCGGAGACACTTCATGCCATTTCTAACGCATTTAAATAAGGTATAATATGTTCATCATGAGGACTAACAGAACTAATACCATCTTCTTCATCCTCCATCTTCTTTAAGTAAAGAGTAGAAGAAATGCTTTACATTACTTTAAACTGTCCTAAACAGCATTTTATCAGAGGGCCAGGCCGCAGAACATGTGATATGAGTAAATGGGTATGCCTTATGAGATAAGGCAAGAAATTATATTACATACAAACGCAAACTAAAATGTGAAGATTAAGGGAAACCAGTCTATAAGTAGGAAACTCATACAGGCCAATACTGTGACAGAAATTACTGAAGTCTACAAACTTACACTGCATGTAGATGGTGGAATTGGCAAACAAGGTTTTGCGGAAGACAGCCACATCCTTAGATACCTGAGAACAGTAGAAAATCAGACAAAATGACTAAGGGAGGACACAGTTAGTGAGCAGTGGTTGGTGTATTTTTCTAATATCTAATTTGTATTATCACATATATAATATAAAAAGTGCAATCTTCTAATACCAGAATCTTCCAAATAGTCATGACAAATCACTCAGTTAAGCAGCTCTTCTGCATTATGTCCCTCTTACAATCACACATTAACTTACAGTCATCATACTTTAGCTATCTAATGACTGGTTTCAAAGAAATTAAATGGGAGCCTAGCTCATAATTTTAATAGTGCATTTTTCTTCAGAAATTGAATAACCTCTTCAATATATCACTTACCATACAGGCGTAAAACACCGAACGTGGAGTGTTTATGCAGTGCAAAAATATTGGATGGTGTAGGCAAATTGTGATTACAAGAGCGCCTTTCAACGGTCACTGGTAAACTACATGTATAATAATTTGTGCATTAGGATTTATTTTACATACATCTAAAATCGACAGTATAGGAGAAAAATACCTCACAAAAATAAAACAGTATTTTAAAATACCAGCGGTGCTCACACTAAGCAGGGAAGAGTAGCAGGTAAGCGCCAAAGTCAATGTGTGCAACAGTGCAATAGAACTGAGGACTACTTGTGCTGTCTAGCGCATACGGTTTTGGAGTATACATGTATTTAAAGTTGAGGCAAACAAGGCTTATTAGATAAACGCGTTCCTAGTTGCACATCACAGTAAAACACAGAGATGACTCACCTCATGTTAAACCACCAATACGAAGCTGCGAGTCAGAAACTAGTGAAAATCCAAATTACAAGTGATAACGACTGAACCCAAACGTGAAACACACATACACTTCTACGAATACATAGTATCATGAAACATCTACATATATATTTTTTAATTAAAGTACAGCTTTGCGTTTTAAACATCACTTGTTTAGAGGCGCCCGAGTCAGGTGTCTTAATATTTTAACAACAGCTGTTTGATTATAACGAGTGAGCTACGCGGACACCAAACACAAAAACAAAAGTGAGGGCTCACCGAACTGACCGGAATACTCCATCGGGAAACCTCGGCCCCGTTACTGGACCATAGACCCAAAAGGAAGAAGAAGAAACAAGGGAGAAACGCTGACAGCTCCGGCATCTTCGTTATCCTGCATACAGTTCCGGGAACAGTTTCAGAAAACCCTGCAATGCGGACTCCGGCCGGTAGAGGGAGCTGAATTTTAACTACTACACGAAAGCCGAGATATGCCAATTGCGAAAAAGGGGAGAGGGGTAGCGACAAATTTAACCTCATAATTACCACACAAAAGAGAATAAACATCTTGCATAAATATGTTATATATCGCTGCTTAACTCTTGTATGTGATATTAATAAAATTGCAATATATTTGGTACAATAAATAAGCATTTGTGTTAAAATTGTTTACAAAAAATATGTTTACGTGAAATCCTTGATATTTCTAAGGAATAAACATAATACTGTTATTAACACTGCTGTGAGATGTGAGTATATACTTCATTATTCATGCTAGACTTAGTTTCTAAAAAAGTCGCATTACAAACTTTCACAAAACAACAATTCCCAAAAACACCCTGCTGGAGTTTGTAAGGGGGCGTGGAAATGCGATTTCTGTAAACACAACGTGAGGAAGAAAGCAAATGAGAGTCAAGTATCTATTGGAAATAATAATAAAGAAATAATCGAATATTAACTAATTGGATTACTTATGGCATCTGAGCAAAAAGTATCGGAGACAGGTGAAAGGTACGTAGTCAGCACAAAATTGTCTCTGTTCCTACCGGTGCCGAGAAGCTACATGCAAACTTCCTGTTCCACTGTGTATATTTATCGTGGTTATTGATTCGAAAACTTAGTAAATTATATGTATTTAAAGTAATGTATATTTACAGTCATCTTTTTACACTATATTTACGGTATGCCTTATATTTCTGATAGGCGATGGTGGTTCTATAGCCTGACGTTTAACGCCTGTTTTTTTCCGTAAAACTATTTTCTGTAGCTTCCTGTGTTTTGTGTTTATAAAGGCAGCAGATGAATAAGTGATAATGCATATATATGTTTTCAATATTGTAACGATACACTAGATGCTCATTCATAAGCAATTATATAGTTCAGCATTCTACAAGCACAACATAAAACAACTGTTCAAAACTTTTTTTAAAGCGATTTTGGTGAACTGTAGCAACAGTACGATCATCTGTTTTAATGAATTGTGACTAATTTCAATCTATTACAAAAATCAAATAATAAAATGGAAATATACAGATTTTTACAACAGCTTGTTACTGTATAAGAAGGGTATTTTATTGTCTTGTTTGAAAATACTATAGACATTTTTAAATGTATTTTTACAGGTCACTTCGAATTGTTAGCTAATCCAGTGTTGTGACTAAACCTGGGATGTCAAGAGACCATCCTCATTAACTTATAATTAAGAATAATTTGTAATAAAATGTTATGATAAGGATAACATAGTATTATCCTTATCGCACCCCAGCTGATCACGTTAAATAGTGTACAGGACGTTTTTAGCTATTTAATCGCAAAAGTAATAGTTGAACTCCCACACTGGCAATACCTACGTCCTTAAAAAAATGAAAAAATAATCATACTCTAAATCTACTAATAAAAATACAATGTTTCAGTTATAGAGCTCATCTGCAACCCCTGCTCTGCTTTTTTTTTAGAAATGTACACGTAGAAAAAAACAGGAAGTACATTACAGGCTTTATAGTTCTACAGTACACAAGTCTCAAACAAGCTACCCAGCCTTGTAGTCAAAGGTGATACCCTGGCTTCTCAAAAACCAGCTAGACCTTTGAATCATATATGTTGCTTTAGCAGGCTATAAGATCGTATATTACATGTAAAAGGAAAACAACATGTTATATATCCAGCAGCTATATTACCCTGCAACTTACAACTTGTAAACCCCTGAAGCTAAGCAGGTGTGAGCCTGGCCAGTTTCCAAATTGGAGACCTCTTAGGAAAGCTAAGGTTGCTGCTGGAAGAGGTGTAAGTGTGGCCAGCAGGGGGTCCTCACCCTGCAGTCTGTGTGGGTCCTAATGCTCCTAATATATAGTATGGTGGACACTATATTGTAAAAAGGCGCCATCCTTTGGATAAGACACAAAACTGAGGTCCTGACTCATTACAAATCCCTGGGTCCTTCTCGAAAAGAGTAGGGGTGTCACCCTGGCATCCTGGCAAAATTTCACATTGGCCTTTATCAATCATTCCCTCCTAATAATCCCCATCTATGAACTGGCTTCATCACTCTGTTCTCCTCCTCACTAATAGACGGTTTGTGGCGAGCGTACTGGTGCACTATGGCTGCCGTCGCATCGTCCAGGTGGGGCTTCACACTGGTGCTGGTGGAGGGGTCCCCATTACCTGTAAAGCACTTTGAGTGGAGTGTCCAGAAAAGTGCTATGCAGTACAAGTGCCAGGAATAATAATAATATATTATAATAATATTATTATATCAGATCCTCACAGCTATTGGCTGCTTGCAACCAAACAGGCAAGATGAGATATATAACTCCACTCATTTGTAATCTTCTAAATCTTTATCTGCAATTTTTCAGACTAGGGTTGTAGCAGACTGGAACTATCTCACACTGGAAAGAGTTGAGCAGCATGTGGTATCACTAAATACAAGCAAGCAAGCAAGCAAGTGTTTAAAACTCTCCCTTTTTACTGCTGCAGCATTACCACAACTATCCCAGTGGATGAAGGAAAGGAGGTGTTTAAGAAATGCAACGACATTGCATTTTATAGGTGGGTACTGTACGTGACAGCTTCCTATAGCTACTTTATCATCACCACAGCATGGGATGTTGAAATCCATCTTAAAAGAACCACTGAACACAATGTCATTGGCAGGAAACATGCTACTGTGTGGCAGTCACAGCAGAGACAATCTTCAGTTTGAGCTTTTCTGAGTTGTGATTCACTGTACTGGTACATGAGATAGGTGCCTGTTTTAATGTGGTGTTTTAGTCAGATGTGCAGCTCAGTGGAGTGTGGTGGGGACAGAGTGTTTGCTGAGAAAGCCGAGAACTGAGTGTTCTGCAGCACTTCGGTAATGTAAAGTAATGGGCACAGGCTATGTACTGTAGTGCACTTTTACTGCTGGGAGTATTACTCTAGTGCCCCTTCTGGCCAGCTTGTAGAAGACAGGAAGCAAGTTTTGGGCTTTGTGAACCTTATCACAACAATGTTGCATAAGCTGTCACAACAGATATTAAAAATTAATTTTGCATGTGATTTTGAGATTTAACACTATGCACCATGAGTTTTGTTTTACCTTCTAATACCAACCTAGGTGGTTTATGGACTTACTGAATTATGATTAATTTATGTATTGATTGATAAATATTGATTTATTGAATGTACTGTATAGGAGTCAAGTCACATTCTCTGTCTGGAGATGTGACAGCTGGAGGATCTTTTATCTTGAACCCTGTTACCGATGTCTAAATCATGTTCTCTCCCAGAAGATTAACCACTAACAGAGATTATTAGAAAAGGAACATCATGTAGAAGAGAAAAGGTGTTTGTCAAATACAGTACCAGTTTATGGAAAGGTGTAGACAGAGTCCAATACAAAGAATGACAAATGATATTTGAATTATCCCATTTCATGTCATTTCCATATTTCTTTCCATATCCTACAAGCTGCAAACCTAAAAATGTTTATGAAGCAAAAAATGATATATTTCTTACAGTGAAAAGGCTATGCTTTATGGAAAAATCAATCCACTTGCGATGCAGTAAGAGGTGAGTTTACGGATATCAAACTCCTTGTTTCTCAGGAGGCAGAAGGAGTTACAACATGGATCTTCTCATTATCGCGCCTTGATGGATACTCTGGTGCTATCAGAGAGGGGAGCCCAGCTGAAACTAGTGCACACAGATACAGAGGTTGGTCTGCTTGGGGAATGGGTGATGCATGGAAAGGTGACATTGTGGCGCAGTACTGGGGCCCTGCGTTCAGTTTCTGGGGTGCTTTACATGTGGAGTTTGTATGTTCTCCCTGCATTTGTGCAGGTTTGCTCCAAGTGCTCCAGTTTCCTCCCACAGTCCAAAGACATACTGGCATCAGACAAAACTGGCCCAAGATTTCCCTAGGTGTGCATGTGTGGGTCTGCGTGCCTTGTAATGGACTGGCATCCTTAAATTGGGATAAGCAGGTAGAAAATGGATTGGATGGGTGATGTCATAGATAAATGTACTAAAACAACTATGTAGTAGTGTGGAATAGCACCTAGGTGAGGCCCTGCTCTTGTATCTACTGTACAAGCAACGTACTTCACTCAGAACATGCAAGTAAAATGCAATTCCATTTAAAATTCTACGTCAGCTCTTACGACATCAATAACTTTGTTTACTCCCCCAGTTTTCTCTGCTGCGTATCAAACGTCTGGCAGAGAACATTGAAGTGGGTCAGTCGTATGTTGTGAAGTAATGCCAAGCCCAGGAACCCTTCTCCTGTCCTTTTACCATGTTGTGCCTGGCTGTTACAGGTCCCATTACTTCTCCAAGTCTGTGCCGTCCAAGGTGGAATTATCCGGGTGAAGATAAACGAGCTCCAGCCCATTAGGCCGCGCTATGAAGTCCCTGACGTTCTGATTCACGAACCAGTCACCCAGCAGTGAGTCATGGGGCAACCTACAGAAATGTTGATTATATAAATGTCTGCATCTGTTGGGGCTCTGTGAACCTGGACTCGAGAGCAGAGAGACAGATGGGCCAAATCTAGGCTGCCCTAGAGACAGCCTGAAAGGGCTGTGAAAAAGAAAGGGTTTGTTTTAGGAGAGAGAGAGAAATGTGAGCATGAATTAGACCAGGGTCAGCAGTCTTTGAGCAAGCCCCAATTTAAGATAATGGTTTGTTTGGAGAAGCCTTTGGTCCATGTATTTATTGCAAACCTTCAACAAGTCCAGTAAATGGTCCTGGACCTCTGTGGACAGCTGTATGACCTAGTTTAATGGGCCAAGCTACCTAAAGCAGATCCATACTGTCTAGATGTTGCCTCTATACAGGCCACAGCACCATAAGGGTGGAATATCCCAACAGATGTTCTCACTGCTCCGGTCATCAGACAGCCCCCTCATGGGAGCAGAGTGGGGTTTTGGGACCTCACACCCTGTCCCGTGTCTCCAACAGGCTCACCCTAGAGCAGGCGGACGCAGACTCTCTCACCCTGCGATGGGAGGAAACGCAGTCCCAGGTGCGGATAGCACACTGCCCCTTTCGGCTGGAAGTGCTGTGCAGAGGGGAGGTGACTGCGACACTGAACTCTGAGGGGAGGTTGTGTTTTGAGCCACTGAAGGATCCCCCGCAACACAGGTGAGCACCACCACTCCATAGATGTCGGCTGTATGTGTACCCCCAGTAGTTGAGCCTCCAAAAAAACAGTAGTAGTCTGCAGACATCTGAATGAACTCCTTTTCCTTTGAGCCAAAACTAAAATACTGAATATATAGAAGCAGCATGAATAGAATACTTAAAGCTTGGCATAGTTAAATGAAAATGCATCTTAATAATGAGGGCATCATAAATATCACACAGCATCTTTAAACATCTTGAAAAGTTGATTAGTGACCGGATGATCGTTGGATGCATCACCACCACCTTACAGCCTGTTTAGTTTTTCAGTCAAGCTAATTTCTTTACATTCTCAGAGACTAAGAAGCACCAGAGAAAACACTGGCTGACAGAGCAAAAAAAAAAAGTTTTTAAATACTCCCATACAGGCAAACTCATTAGAATGAAAAAAACATTTGGAGAGAACATTTAAGTTGAATTTGTTTGAAAGGCATAATTTTTAAAGCACTAAAAATCCTAGATGTCTTGTCCATCATAGTATTTGTTATTGAGGCTGTACAGTAAGGCATGCCCTCTATGAAACGAACTGAATAGTTAAGTCTCTCCCCAGACCTGGGAATTGTGCATGTCTGTGCCAGTTTCCGAGCTTCTGAAGGCATCACTCTGAGGCATGCTGTTGGCCTGACTTGTTGTGCCCTGTAGCAGCATTTTAGGCAGAGTTCAGGCATCAACCAGAGAATGGACACCTTGTTTAGTCTACGAGTTGATCATCCAGCAATGACATCTGTGGTTTTTGAACAAGGTGGTGATTTATTATCTCACTGTGCCTCACATATTGCTAGTTGCCATAAAAAGTTTGGTGCCACCACAGGGTAGTACAGCTCATAACTGGTATCACTGGATGAGATCAGCTCATGCCTAGGACTTGCAGAATACTGCATTCAAGACAGAGGCTCTCTGGAGTCTGAGATCTTAGGCAGTTTATAAAAGCTGTTAAGGATCAGAAAGTAAAGAAATAGATTAGAAGTGGAGATCCTAAAGTCTAAAACAGTACAGAATATGTAAACATGAGAAATCAAACTAATAAGCAGTCTTGTGCTGTAGAAACATTTTTCCTTGGATCAGAATAGTTACAGATATGTTATAGAGAAGTTCTGAAATGCATGAATGTTACCTTAGAATAAAAGTCTCTCATTCTGCAATAGGTTGGTTTCCTATAACCAATTTCTGTCTCCTCTCCACAGCACTTCATCTCAGAAGGAAGAGGTAACTTAATTTCCATTGTAGGCATTGGTGGGAGGGAGAATAGGACATTTAAGTATGCTTTTATAGTTTATAAAATTCCCCAGTCAGTTGCACTACAGAAATCACTGGGGCTCAAAAATCACATTAATGCACACACTGAAGAACAAGGATTTGAATGGCAGGAAGACCACAACTGCTACAACCCAGTCTGTTAAATTAAGTTCGTGTAGGAGGGGAAAAAAAAAGATACATTCACCTTGCTTGATATTCCCCCTCCATTCTTCCATCTTACCATTCTAGGAAGATGACACATCAGGATTATGGAAAGAGAAATTCAGACAGTTTGTAGATATCAAAGCTAATGGTAAGTAAAATGACTCCGAGAAATCCATTTGGCAAGAGCTGTAGCAATTAGTGTTGCAATACAAAAACTCTTCACAAAAAAAGTGAAAAAACTACATGGAAAATCCTTCACTTAACTGATACTAAACAGGTTAGATGGGCCAGGTTACTCTTCCACTTTGTAGTTAATATTTTTTTCAGGTGCAACAATCTCCAGCACATACTGTGAAGTCCATTGCTGCCAGTGTCATCTTAGCTTTCTGCATTTTAAATCTTTCAGTCCTCTTCAGGAGCCTAGCGCTTTCATGGTACAGTATTTCCCCTCAGTTAAGACTACACTGGCCTCTTCAGATCTGTATACATCAACAGAACTCAGACTCCTCTCATCACTGTCTTAACAGATCATATTTCAAGAGGGACACCTCTAACACTTGTGCCCTCAACACCATAACTGCCAATTTATTCTCCCACATAGATAGGAAGCCATTGAAGCCCAGGGAATACTCAAAAACAACCCACCACCCCCAACTCTTCTCTCAGTTATGAAGAGGAGAACCACTGCCACCAAGCAGACTGAAGCTTTTTTCCTCCCAACTGTTCTTATAAGCCTTTTAATTAGCCCAGAGGAGTGGTCAATTACACACAGAGCCTATCCTTACAGCTCGTTCCCTCATGTGGAATTTAATTCCTTCTGAGTGTTAATTACTTAGTCAGACCAGCTGTGCCTCATTCTGTAGGTTTTATTTTCAATTAACAGGCAGCTTTCTTGCAAAGCTACCTCTCGCCATCTCACAGGGTGATTTAAGTCTGTAGTGTGGAGGGGTATGAAAAGAGAGAGATCTGATAAAAATATTTTAAAAAGAAATTGTAACCTTCAACATAATTGTCTTCTCGCTCATGTTCAATTCTGATGCATGTTTCCCTGTTTGTTTTCTGCCTGGTCCTGGTTTATAATCTGCAGTACACTGTTTTCTCGTTTGTTTGTCAGTGATGGGAGAGATGTTTCCTGAGGTGGATGTCTCTCAGTAGTGATGTTACTGGAAGAGGGGGCTCATTTCTGAATTTATATAGTTATTTCTGAATTTCTCCTTTAAATATTTGGCAAATTGATATTTGTGGTTTAAAGAAGGATGCAGATTAGCAGAGAAGACAAGGACTGGCTAAACCTCCTTAAATTAAATGATAAATTCAAATAAAATTAAATATTGTTACCATCATGTGTTCCCTTAGTGTTTGGGTTAGACTGAGAAATCTGGAGGTTTTAATGTCTGATGCCAACAAGACTTTCAGCCTCAGAAAGGCAATGAAAAACATTTTTCCTCTAAAAATGTCTTTAAGATCATATTATCCAACACCAGATGCCATGCACAATAACGTTAAGAGGTCAAACCTTTATATTCTTCCAAGCAGTTATGGAAGCAGACATGAATGTGGTTCTTCACGCAATAATGGACGGAGACATAGATATAGTTCTCAGTGCTAACTGATCCTGCTCATAAGCGAACCGAAAACGTTTCTTAATCACAGAATCTTTGAATCCTCTTTTGTCTGTTAGGATGTCTGCCTGTCGGTCTAGCAGTAGGTACTAGGGGATGTGAAAGCAAGCATCTGTGCTCTTGTAGTGTTCAACCAGCAAATATGTTACTATTTAATTGAATCCCTATTTTTGGTATCACGGAGTGCTATGGTATCCCAAGGAATTAAGGGAAAATTGGCCAGAATTGTTAATAGTGCTAGTAAACAAATTGGTTGATCATAGAAACAGCTTGAAGAACTGCAGCTCAAAGATCCACACTCCTCATTCCTATTTTCACCTGCTACCTTCAGGGAACCTGTTTAGATTGCTTATGGCCAATAAAATTGTATACAAGAAATAATTTGTTCCCTGTACAATTGGTATATGAAACGCAGCTAAGTGGTAGTTTCTTGTATGAAGCTCTCAATTTAGTGCGCATGATAGCGTAATATGGGCACAGCAATATGTCTGTATGTGTGTATGTATCATTGCATAGCTAGGATTATTGCTTGTTTTTGTATTAAGTTGTATTAAGTGCTATTTCTTTTTTGCAGTTTTTTAAGGTGGTGATACCAAAGACCAATTTCCAACTTTTTGGAAGAATAATAAAGTTATCTGAAGATTAAGATAAACAGAGCTGCACAGTGGCACAGTAGTTACTGTAGCATTGCTTGCAGCACTGCGGTCCTGGGTCCAATTGTGCACTTACTGTGCTGTCTGTGTGGAGTTTGGATGTTCTCCCCGTTTTTATGTGACTGGTGCTCCAGTCATCCCTGAATCGGATGAAGTGGTAAGAAAATAAACAGATGGATGCATCTTTAAATACCTGCCTTGGTGCCTCTTAAACTTTGCGGCAATATAAAACGTGAAAGTAGACAAATTGTACAAGCAGATAGACCAAACGTATTTTGGAAACCATCTCCAGGAGATAAACTGTGAGGTTGTTCCTCTCTGATTCGCAGGGCCCAGCTCTGTTGGCCTGGATTTCAGGCTGCATGGCTTCTCAAATGTTTATGGGATTCCAGAACATGCTGACACACATCGGCTCCAAGATACCAGGTTAGAGCAGTCGTCCACAACTCTTCAGATTGTTGTTGTTTCCAGACCCAAGTATATTTCAGGTTTTCTTCTCGTTAAAAAAGGGGTGAGACTGATAGTGATTCATAAGTTGAATAAAATTAATTCACTTTGAGGTAGTATTTCAAGCCAGCTGCCATTTTCTCTGGATAACTATTTGGTTATTTTTTCACATGCAAAAAGGACTTACAATTGAAAACAAAATGGAAAAAAGTGTTCTGGGAGAAAGGAAACTTTTTATGAGACATAAAACCCCAAATTGACACTCATACTCTGTATTTAACGGTTACACTGATTAGGTGAGAAGAAAATAATGATTACGGATGCTCCAAGGGCTAGAGAATTATTTTGTAACAAAGATTACCAAATTGGCTCTGACAAATATGCATTTCTGGAAAGAAGTGGGCAATTGCTTCACCTTAGACTTAGAATCTTAGACTATTGCAAGGGTCACAGTGGTGAGACGATTTGAATGACAATTGGCAACTCCTAATTGTGAAGTACAAATAATATAATAACCTGTGGAAATTTAAGACCCTACCTTGCAGTTTATTCTCTAAATTCACAGACTCCCTTTACGTTTTTGCCAATGATTATTTAAACTGTTTCAATGTCATTTAAGCAATACTCAATTCTTGAAATAATCATGAAGGGTTTGTTATGACTTAATTGTTGTTCTTGTCTTAAACCTACCACTAAGACAGGACCTAAGACATGAACAATATATAGCTATTTGTATGTTTAATTTATAATCCCAAATAACAAAGAAACATATTACAAATGCAAGCTGTAAAGATGCAAAAGTATTGAAGAACATGGTCTGTATGAGGCAGGCTACTGATTAAAGAGTAAAACACACACAAATGCAACTGTATCTGTTCTCTTAGTCTTTGGTAGACGCTTGGTACTGATGCCACAATGTTTGGAAACAGTGGACAGTTCAGTATTTTACGGGGATTGGCTCGTTTACCCTTTACCTTGCCTCTGCTGGCTGCTTGCTGTGGTGGCTGGTTAGCTGACAGTCCCTGTCGGTGTTGTGTTGCAGTGCCGGAGAGCCCTACCGCTTGTACAACCTGGACGTGTTTGCCTACAAGATACATAGCCGGCTGGGTCTGTACGGCTCTGTTCCCCTTCTGCTGGCTCACAAACCCGAGAGGACCATTGGCGTCTTCTGGCTCAATGCCTCTGAAACCCTGCTGCACGTCGACACTGGCGCAGATCACCTGGTAATGGGGGTTTTGGGCAGGGTAGAACAGCTGGTGTTGAGGGAAATCCAATGAGGGAAATATTACAAGCTCTGTAGCTTGTAGTAAAACATTAAAACGCATTAATTAACCAAGGCCAGCAACTTCCATTAGTCTGAATTCTGCTCCCTTTACAAGGAGACTTATTGTAAGGCCGTGGTGGTTGATGGATCACAAGCTTTGTTCTTTGGGATGAGGTGAACAAGCCTGAAGGAACAGGCTGGCAAAGTTCTGGGAAGGTTTCACTTGCCTTCTTACTAGGTTACTCTTGTGGTTTTATGACATTAAATTGTGTAATTGTAAGGATGTACAATAACAGTCAGCAGGGACGTTTCTCTGAAAATGGCAACAAGGGTTTTCACAGAAAGGATATCATGGGAGCAATCATCATTTTCAGTGATTTTGTTCCACAGTGATTGCCCTTTACAAATGAGACGTCGTTTACTACAACTGTAGTTACATGTGGGTCTGCATCACCTTCATCTTCTGGTGATATTGTAACTGGCGGTGCCAGCAGTGCCAGTGGCCACAGTGGAGTTTCAGAAGTGCGTGTGATGAAGCAGTACATTAGTCAGCTTTGCTCTGTCTTTATAGTGTAATTGTATTTTGAAAATGAAATAACAAAATGCTTCCAGTTCGCTTTCCTGGATTATCCCCTCACGATATCCCCCACAGGTGAAGAGGAGGAGAAAGGCAGCCCACACTGATCTCCACTGGATGTCAGAGAGTGGCATCATTGACACCTTCCTCTTACTGGGCCCAACACCTTTCCAGGTTTTCGCACAGTACGCCGAGCTGACAGGTGCACCCTCTTACTCCTCCTTCCCCTTCAGCGCAAAATGATGCTTTCCGTGTCATTTCTTCATCATGTTTCTGTTCCTTGTGGTTTATTTTGTATCCCCATTGGGGCATCCAGCTTGAATCTTTGCTAAAACCATGCTTGTATTGCATGTAGGTCTCTCAAACACGACCGAAAAGCGTCTCTTGCCTCTATTATATACTTATATCCACCATTCTATAAAAGTGTAGCATTTAAAAAATATCTCATACTCATTTCTCGGTATGAGAGAAATGGCGTATTGACAGAACTACACTCTAGGTGTCAGGGATCCGGCAGATATTTCTCCGGGGATCCTGTGCGTAGCCGTGAACTCTGCAGGGTGCAGAGGCAAACCATCCAAAATCGTAATCCAGAAGCAAGGTCGGTTGGAGAAGCTAGTTAACCGTTAACCCGAAAGAGCCGAGACAATCTGAGAAGACAGCCCAAAAGGCGAAATCCAAGAGACGAGATCGAAAGGGAAAAGTTAAGTCCAAAAACTGGGAAATCCAACAAGACAAAAACACACACTAGAAAACTCTAAAGGAGGCATTTCAATAGTGAGAAAGGTTTGGTGCGTGAGGGAACTTTAAATAGTGAAGGGAGAGGGACGTGCTTTGAAAGTTGGTTCAGGAGTGAGAATCTGTGGAATCTGGTGCCTGTGAGAATGTGATGGGTTCAGTTAGGAATGAGATCGTGAAACAGTGGGTTTGGGAATATAATGGCGAGGGCGAATGTGGGACGTGACACTAGGGTAGTGAGCAGTTAACTGTCCAGGATGACTTGAGAGATTGGACTCTTTAATGTGCAGTGTAGTCAGAAGCTTGACTCCAGCTGTGGAGCTGCCAGGAATGAGTGTGCTGTGCTACGCAGGCTGGCAGGCTCTGCCCCCTCTCTTCTCCCTGGGGTATCATCAGTGCCGCTGGACCTACAGGGACGAGGCCGACGTCAAGGCGGTGGACCAGGGTTTTGACCAGCATGAAATCCCTTATGACGTCATCTGGTTGGACATCGAGCACACGGAGGGCAAGCGCTACTTCACCTGGGACAGCAAGCTGTTCCCGGACCCCGTGGGCCTGCAGGATCACCTCCTAAACAAGAACCGCAAGGTACTTCTGTCACCCGACGGGGTGCGGCACACTTTTTCCCAGCCCAGATCCAATCAGAGGAAAACAGTGTCATCGGTGTCATCACTAAATCAGCAAGAAATGGGTGGTAATGAGAAGTGAGAGAGACTGATTTTATCAATTTAATACCACAGCCTAGAGAGCAAGTCCTGCTGCTCCAAAGTGCCTTAACCTGTATAGTAATAAACTCCTGTGACAGTGAAGATCGTTAACATGCTTGATTTGTCTGTGCCTTTTTATTTAGGCAGTGCCCCCAGACATGCAGTTAGGTCTGTCCGTTGTTTCTGTGTTCACTCTGCTCATTTCACTTGGAAACCAGTATATCACATCTATGAATTAGAGAAGCGTGTATGTTTTCAGCAACGCAACACAAACAGTGTCATCAAGGTATTTTTTTATGCTTATTTGTAAAAAATGAAAGGGTTTGCAGCCTCCTGTTTTTCTCAGGTTTGGTCTTAGTCCTGATTAAGGAGTAAGCTGTAAGCTGGAATGAAGACCCAGGGCAGGATTCTTGCAGGCTTCTCATCTCTGACATCACTGTCAACTTTGAGAGATGCAGCAGTGTAGGATCAGACTGGTATTGGCATCTCTCCCTTGCAGTAGCTCTGTAACATTTAATTCCTCAAGCCACAGACTGGACTTCGGCATAGAGGGTTTGGCATTTTCTTGGACACTAAGACATGCCTGAGATAGCAGTTTAGATCCAGAGTTCAATCACACACTTCTATCCCGTATTATTTGATGTGCTGGAAGAGAACACTGACTTTTTGGTCCTTGATGTGCTGCTGATCATTTCTGGGCAAATAAATTGACAAAGAATGAAGTATAATAAGGCATTAAAACCATCAAACAACGTCTTTACAAGTTTGTTTAGAACAGCTGTTTAAGTTGCCCTTCAATTTTACAAATGGCCAGTTTTTAACCGCTTTTAAACTGCAGATGTTTTAGTATTTTCATCTTTATAATTTTAATAAATGTATAACAAAAACTCTTAATACATGATCTAAATATACACATTATCGCCTTTATTTGCCTTTTTACACTATCAATCACAGATCACACAGAATGAATGTCTTTAAATAAGCTACCCTAAAAATGATGAAGATCAGTATAGGTAGGTCCCTTTTCAGGCCATAAAGGCCCATTGGGGAATGGGGGGCAAGGGCCACCATTTTTCTTGACCATCCGACACTGGAAGTGGAGGTGATGTGGTCAGCATCACACTCCAACCGGCCTCTTACCCCCGGAAGGATTAACTCACGGTATTCATTTGGAAAGCAGGCTGAGTGGGCCTGGGAGCCGTCTGGAAGGAATTCACAAGAAACGTGTCTGCTGCATGAACTGATATCCATTTCTGCTTTTGTTTTGTTTTTAGTTGGTGGTGATCAGTGATCCTCATGTCAAAATTGATCCAGATTACTCTGTGTACTCTGAGGCCAAAGACTTGGGACATTTTGTGAAAAACAGAGACGGCAACCCCTACCAGGGCTCCTGTTGGCCAGGTGCTGTTCACATCCACACTGCTACTATAAAGTTAGTGTCAATTAGGCCATTTCTACACTGTGTAGCTGCTACTGTAAAGCCCTACGAGAGTATCAGCTAGGTCATTTCTACACTGTGTAGCTGCTACTGTAAAGTCCTGCAAGAGTATCAGCTAGGCTATTTCTACCCTGTATAGCTGCTACTGTAAAGTTTTGGGACTCCTGTAAAGGGAGCCAGATGTATAAATGATTCTTGATGTTCTTCATCTGCTCATGTTTCTTTGATTTCTTTCTTCCTCTCCCTAGGCCCCTGCTGTTACCTGGACTTCAGCAGTCCAAAAGCACGTGCTTGGTATGCCTGTATGTTTTTTCTTCACAAATACAAGGTGAGTCTGATAAGGCTGCTGAAGGCAACATAGAGGTTTATAGGCCTCTGTGAGGACACCCCACCTGATCGGACAGCCTCGTGATACCCTGAATAAGCGGAGTACATTTTCTAAAATCCAAGGCCATTTGGAAATGTTCTGAGACTAGTGTAGAAAGTTACTGACTCCAAATATTCCAGGTTAGAGAACATTCAATCAGGCAGGATCCAATATCTTAGATTTTCATCCCTTTCTGCTTTTAAAGAAAACATTGCTCAACAGGTGCTAGTTATTCATTTAATAATGAAAATCTCACACCCCTCTCATGCGTAAGAGCTGTTTTGTGCCATTTTCTCACTCTCTGGATCATGGGACGCAATCTGTCAAATCGTCCTCCAAACAGGGGTTGTGTTTACATTTAATCTCTTTAAATCCATGGAAATGACCACTCTTAAAACTTTGATCAGCTTTTGATACCTTCGGCTCTTTGTGAGACGGAGAACCGTCTACCTGTTTGTGATGCGGAGGTTCGTGTCGCTTGCCTGTGTGTGTGTCAGGGATCCACGGAGGCGCTGTTTGTGTGGAATGACATGAACGAGCCCTCGGTTTTCGGCGGGCCGGAGCAGACCATGCCAAAGGACACAGTGCATTGTGGGGGCTGGGAGCACCGGGAGCTTCACAACCTGTACGGCTTCTACCAGGTAAAGCAAATCCGGAGGCTCGTGAGATTTTTCATTTTTCATTTTGATGGTATTGCCAATCATTTCTTATTGCATGCCCACCCATGGGGAGAATGAGAAGATGTAGTTGGGCTCCTCTGTCTTGCTCACCCGTTTTGTGCCATTTCACTTTTGGCTCGCTACCAGCTAGTGTCTGGTCCCCAGTGCTATTTTACTTTCTCTCCCTGACAGCACTGGGCCACAGCAGAGGGGCTAATTGTTAGGTCAGAGGGTACCGAGAGGCCGTTTGTCCTCTCACGCTCCTTCTTCGCTGGCTCTCAGAGATTTGGTGAGTGTGCTTCTGGTTTAAATACCGCTCTACCTACAGTATGTGAGGACGTGTCAAGAAATCCCCTGGCACATCTGCAGCCTGCTGCTTTGTGTGTGTGTGTGTATTCACTCATGTATGTGTATTGGTATTCAGCCAAAATACAACATTTTGCATTGGCTTGAGATTTGTGCAACTTTATACCAGAATCTGATCATAATATGAAATCCAAACAGCAGCAAGCTTTATATAAACATTCCTGTAAAATGCCACTAATTAAGTCACCATATTTTTTATTAGAGCTGTTACTTTAACAATTTTCTAGTCATTTCATACAATCTATGTTTTAATTCTGTCATAAGCTTCTCATTACATAAGACCAACATCTGTAATTTCTTTATGTACAACTGGCACCTTCAGCATAAGCGATTTCTTTGTTACCTCTGGTCAAATACCCTTATTTGGGCTGAGGAAGTTACATTTTTTTTCTGTGGTGTATTTGTGTTTGTCAAGGAGCTGTGTGGACAGGCGACAACGTGGCCAGCTGGGACTACCTGAAGATCTCCATCCCGATGCTGCTGACTCTGAGCATTACAGGGATTGCCTTCTGTGGTGGTGAGCGGTCCATCCTGTGCCAAAACACAGAATCTCACTTTTCCTCACGATCAATTCTTTCCTATTTTCTCTATTCTCAGCCTGCAATAGAATCTCCACTGTAACTGAGATCAATGTTAAGCTCTATGGCTTTGGTGTCCCTAGGTTGAGACTTTTCTTGTTGGTTGACTCTAGCTGGGATTCCACCAGACAGCAGAACACAATTAACAAAATTAATTTTCGTAATAACCATGTTATTAACAGTGCGTGAGGCACCGCTCCTCCAATTGGCACTACCCTCATGTTAATGGGATGTGCAATGTGTTAGAAAAGTGAGCTCGAGTGAGCGAGGCAGAGGGGCTTGTCTGCCCATCCTCGATCTCCCTGTTACTACAGGAGTCAATGCTGTGGGCCAGCCTGGGCTCACGCTGTAACCACCCATCCCAGAATCCTCTGTGGCTCAGGTGACTGCCGGAAAGGTGACTGGCCTCAGATGGCCTCAGCTGGCCCTATGGTCCTGACACATTCAGCCTCTCAACTTCTTGTGACTGGCTCCCTCAAGCTCCCTCTGGCCATGTTTTTGGTCTAAGTTACAGGGCGTTTTCCATAAAGTATTTATGTCTACAGCAGGAAAGCGATGCTTACCCAATTTCTACTCATGCAGATGGTACAGAAGTTAAATGAAACATGCAGACTAAGCCAGCACTTGGCGTGAATGATGTAAGGAGACCGAGCTACAGTGAATGAAATGAATAAAGATGCTTGACAGGGGCAAAGGTGATGATGGACACTTGCTCTCTCCCCTCTCAGCGGATGTGGGGGGTTTCACCCAGGACCCAGACCCAGAGCTCCTGGTGCGCTGGTACCAGGCGGGGGCGCTGCAGCCTTTCTTCCGAGGGCACTCTGACTGCCAGGCGCGGCGGCGCGAGCCCTGGCTGTTCGGAGAGGAGGTTACCAGCCTCGTGAGGCGAGCCGTCTGTGAGCGGTACTGCCTGCTCCCTTACTGGTACTCCCTCTTCCGCCAGGCCCACGTCTCGGCCCGCCCCCCGCTGAGGTACCGTCCCGTGGGCTCCTTTCAGCTGCCACGCTCCTCTCCGCACCCCCCCGCGGTGCTGAAACTGTTCTGCTCCTTTCAGGCCTCTGTGGGTAGAATTCCCCCAAGACCACCAGACCTTCGCAGTGGAAGACCAGTACATGATAGGTGTGTACATCACTGTAACTGGTTTGCCGTGTGGTGGCTCTGTGGCTGAGGATCTATGCCTGTGGCTGGAAGTCTGCCAGTTCGAATCTCGGGGCCGGCAGAGGAATCCTACTCCGTTAGGCCCCTGAACAAGGCCCCTAACCCCAGCTGCTCCAGGGGCGCCTTATAAATGGCTGACTCTCCCTGTCTGTGTGTCTCATGGAGAGCAAGCTGGGGTATGTGAAAACACAAATTCCTAATCCAAGAAATTGTATATGGCCAATAAAGTGATCTTATCTTTGACAAAAGGAAGGACTTGGGAAGTCAACACTTTTTGTCTGCAGGTAGTTATCAGGGCGAAGAGATTAAAGGAAGTTTTTCGTAGCCAAGTGTGTATCATATGTGTCACTGTGTGAAATAATACTGAATAATAAAAAGAAACAGTAGCTCCATCTCTGAATTCAGTGTAAGCAGTGTAAAGTAGGATATATTCTGTGGATTTTATTGTTGTTTCAAATGGCAGGAAATGCTTTGCTGGCTTGCCCTGTTACTGATCCTGGAGTCACCAAGATAAAGGTTTTACTTCCTGGGTCTGGTGAGGTAAGACTGTGATTTAAAAATAAATAAATTCTAACATGCACCTCACAAACTCCTACTTATTTGAGTGAACCTTTATTTAAACTATTAACTTTATTTAAACTTAAACATATTTAAACTATTACTCTTATAAAAAACAGGTTGGTGAAGCCTAGTTTTAGGTACATCTGTGAATTATCTGCCTGTATCTGCCACGTCTGTATCCTAGGTATCGGATACAGGTTGTTGAATTATTCTTGTTGCTGTTGCAAATGTCACCAGTGTGAGGTACTGTACAGTATTCATGCCTTTTCAGCTTTTTTTCATTGAATTGTAAACTGAAACATCAGAAGATGTTTCAGTATACAATTCAATTAAAAAAAGCTGAAAAGAGAAGAGTTGGAATGTTCCAAAAGTGTTAACTTTGTGGCACCATTGTAGATACTTCAGATTTGCTTTTTCACAGTGGTAACTTACCATGTGGCTAGGACAACCATATAAGATGACAAAAAAGCATCGGTGCTTTGATTAATGGAAAGCAGAGGGTTATATAATTTAGTTTAAAATTCTAACATGCTAATAATCACTTGAAATATCCCAAGTAACATCTTTAAAAAAACACGTTCACAACTTTAATTTCTTAGCTTTGCTATAATATTACATGAATTCTATATTTTATATAACCAAAATACATCCTTCCAGCTCCATTTTAAAAACTTTATAATACTACATTATTTCTGCAATACCCAAATCACAGTGTTCCAGCAATATTGGGAAATGTCATTAGATTTTGTGTTAGCACAAACCATTTCCTTGGCAACTTGATTTTTTCGCATGCTGGAAAGATAATACATTCACTTCACACATAAATAATGCATTTTAGATGACTGACACCTGTGTTCATATAATAACATTATAGAAAGTGATCTGTTAGAATACCTTCTTCATCTGTGTGTTAGTTCACATTTTATGATAAATATCTGCCCGCCGTTTTACTAATTATATTAGATGAACGTTTTGTTGAGTGATCACAGTAAGGTCAAATTATTCAAATTCAGCCTTGAAAAGAAAATAAAACAATACCTCAAATCATTACCCTCAGTCTGTCTGCTGTCTTACATTGGTCAGCGGATCTTGATCACAAACAAACCCGGACAGACAAGTCCTGGTGGATTAAATTACCACAGCTGACGCAGCTAATGACGCAGCTGACATTGTCCAAACTGAAAATTAAGTTCTTTTTTTTTCTGTTATTTCAGTTGTTTGGAGGCCAGTTTTGCTAAGGGAAGGGGGGTTTGTCTTCCTGAGTAATGACCTGTCGGTTTTCCCTGTAGTGCTGGTACGACACCCACACCTTCCAGAGGTTTGGAGGAGGAAGGACTGTCAGGATCCCTGTTACTTTGGACACCGTGAGTCTTCAGTGCCTGTGAACATTTTTACACTTGCATCCCTTTGTTGCTCTAGAGAGAAATCCTTTGAATCGAGTGACAGTTGCAGACTTGTATGAAGCAATTGTTGAGCAAGACTGAGTATTTTCCAGCCTATTTACCAAGTAGTGTTTACCAAAGTGTTACCAAATAACCACTGAATATCTGCTTAAGTTTTCAATACTTTGACAATTAAGTGATTGTACCCCGAATTTAAAGGCTTTACCAGTCTTATCAATACTTTACAGTTTTCACTTAATAACAAATGCAATTAGTTTTATTCATATTGCACTTTTAAACCACAAAGTACTTTGCTCCTCATCTTTCAAGATGACACCACCTCCAATGTTTCATGGACTCTGCTGGGGTGCAGTAGGAGAACTCAGAGTCTGTTTCTCCTCCGTTTGCCCAGGTCCCATTGTTCCAGAGAGGTGGCACTGTGGTTCCCAGGAAAGTGGGCGCTGGCACATGCACAGCTGACCAGTGGCTCCTGCCCTTCACTCTGACCGTGGCACTGGACACCAAGGTCTGCTCCCTTTCCTGCACTTTGGTCACTCAGGGGGTGGACAGACAGGCCCGAACTCACTTTATTTACAAAACCGGTAGATTTCTGATCGAATTGTAATTAGGTTTGAAGCGATCACTGCTTCTAATGTCACACTAATTGTCCTTCTATTCCCATTCTTCTGTCTCCTTAGTGAGAATTTCCCTAGTTTGAGTCCCTCAGCAAATACCTTTCACTTTTCACATCCACAAACCCGTCTTCCTCAAGCCTCCATGTTGTTTCTCTTATACCTTGGATTCTAGATTAATGTTTTTGATCTGGGTTGATCCAAGATGATCCAAGCTGATTCAGGCTTACCTGGGCTGGTCCATGCTGATCCAAACTGATCTGGGCTGAACCGGGCTGAATCCAGCCTTCTTGCTACACGTGCACCCCCTTGCCCCATTTAATTTCTTCACTGTTCCCGTAATGTGATGTTATTCTCTTCAGAATCACTGTGAGGACAGTGAACAACCAGAGGTCGAAGCTTTTCGTTTTTAAGAGATGAAGAATGTGTGTTGTATTATGCAATGTGCTGACTGCATTAAGTGTGAACAGAACATGTAACTGTAAACAACAATACAGAATCCTGATCCTTACAGACCAAGGCAGAAAGGGTAGGATGTACTTTACTCAAGTGGCAATTTAACTTGTAGTTTTGTCTCTGCTCTCTGCAGGGCTGCGCAGAGGGAGAGCTGTATGTGGATGATGGCCATTCATTCAACTATAAGTCCAAGAAAGAGTTTGCCCTACGCAAGTTTGCCTTTCTCCACGGCACTCTGTCCTCCAGGTAAGAGAATAAATCCTTGTATGAACCTTTGTTTGGAAGAAGCAAAAAGCTGTTTGGAAAAATTGCTAGCGAAATTCAATATCAATGACACGAACACAGAAAGGTAAGGTAATAGGTTCCAATAAAGATAGTGTTGCAAGCATACAAATCCAGTAAGAATGGAGGAATCGACTCTCTAATCTTAGTTTTTCCGCAGTTCGAGCTGCCTTTCTTGCTAGACACAGATGCCAGTGCGCATGCCTTAGGAGGAATTTGGTCTCACGTACAGGATGGACAAGAAAAAGTCATCTCATACTTCTGTCAGACATTCACTGGAACTGAGCTGAACTACTGTGTTACTTGCAAGGAACTACTAGCTGTAATCAGAAGCATTGATCATTTTCACCATTACCTGCGTGGTAAGCAGTTTACAGTATGCATAGATCACTCAGCATCACAGTCGTTATTTCAATTCCAAAACTTGGTAGGACAGTTAACCAGGTGGGTGCTCTGTCTGCAACAATACAACTTTAAAATTGAATTCAGAGATGGAGCTAAGCACAAAAATGCAGACGCATTGTCCAGGTGACCTTGTTGGGCTTTAGCTTGTACGTTTTGCTCAAAGCCAGAGCAGAAGGTACTGAATCCAAACCACCAATCATGAAACAGACTGAGACTGTGTGCAGTGGAGCTCTAAGGATGACTAGGCAAGAGCCAGCAGTGCCTTTTGATGCTACAGCTCTGTTGCCAGGATATTCAGCGACAGAACTCCAGAATAAGCATAATGGATGGTACTATAGGACACATTATACAGTGGAAAACATCTGGGGTTAAGCCCAGCTGGAAAGACCTTTCTTCCCTAAGCCAGAAAATAAAGACATATTGGG